AAGAGATTTGCCTACTTAATTGTCTAACGTCTATACTATTGGAACAAATTTTTGCCTACATGGTTCCACCGGCAGAGCCACATTAAGAGCTATCCTGGGCTATAGCCCACGTAGCTTTTGATAGAAAATAAAATTTTTCATGTAATTTTTATTGGTTTTCGAATGTAGCTCACCATATATTTAGGGACTGATTCAAATTCTCTCGATTTAATTATATAATACAGTTTACAAACTATCTCTCTTTCTCATATCTTTTTTCTCATCGCTTCTTGTACATGTACAAGTTTGAATTTGTTTGAATAACGAAAATTCTTAGCTCACCTTGTGAAATTTTTTTAAGCTAACTATTATTGTCAAAAATATAGTATCAAATTTTTCTGTTTATAAAAAGTTAAACCCTTAAGCTAGTCCATCCGGTGAAAATTTTCTAACTCTACTTGGATGGTTCATCAAACCTTTGCTGTATTATTGCCTACTCAGTTACCTAAAATATTCTTTAAATCAATTAAAATATTACAATTAAAATTTTCTGGAATTGTTCCCTCACTTTTGGTCCAAAAAGTAATCATATACATGCACGCATGACTCGGGTCCTACCTTGTTTCTACCGCATGCACACCACCATCCCCACCTTATCTGGAGTGCTGGCTATACAGACGAATTTTTTAGCCGACTGATTGGGACACTTGGAATCTTGGACCATTTAATTCATGAACTGCTAGTCAATTTGAAAGCCCTCTCTCCCACATGCGAACAATTGTCGTTCGCTACAACCACGAATTGGAGGGAGACGGATTGTCTAGCCTCCTTTTACCATGCCTATCCCATTATCTCTTATTTATATAATTATTATTGTTAAGTCACATCAATATTTTATATTTTTATTACTTTATATTTTATTATTTTTATTAAAAAATTAATATAAAATATTAACATGACTTACCTATAACCGCACAATATAAAAAGGAATGAAAACGGTATGGTAATGAGAGGGCATACAATCTGCCTCCGAATTGGAGAGCCGGTAACTTTAGTAAGTGACTGTAACTGGCAAAAAGATCTCTTTGATAAACCTAAAATCAACTCACTCAGTGGAAATAGCTTTCAAAATCGAAAAATCATTTGATCCTGGATGCGTGATGCGTGATGAATCAATCTCTTTCACGTTTCTACCTTCGTGCAGTATCATGCATACGTGTACCCAAAAGAGCCTGGCACTCACTGAATTATACATATGTCAGATTGGAGAACACATATTTTGACATTTCTTTTTGTATTCCTCATTTTCAAACTTTTTTTTTTCTAAGATCTGAACAGTCTATGTTTGAATTTATCATTCATAAACTAGCCTTACCAAAACATAAACAAATTCAAAATTAAGACTTCTATTTATAATAAACAAAATAAACGAATATAGTTATACAAATAAACAATAAAGTTACTACCATCCAATCCCATAGTGATATGGTTTTCGAATTTGAGTAATATTTCAAATAATAATCCTTAAAAAATTACTTTACAAATAAACGGTTGAATTGTTAAACTACATTATGTAGTAAACCCTTAAATAAATGGTTTGATAGTTTAGGTAAAGATGCTTAGTGCTTGTTGTTGTCTATCTTTTCTCACGAAGGATGATAAAGGGGTGTGCTAAGCTCGAAATTATTGTGGTGCGAACTGCTCCAGTTGCCACGCATAAAAAAACAAACTTATCTCTTTCCTCCGTTGAAAAAACAACCAATATTTTTTTTTATCAAAAGTCTGGTATGCCTAAGCAGAAACAACAAAAAAAAACAGCGACGACGATGGAGATATTGTTGTGATTTCCCGTGGGTGGGTGGGCGTGTCAAGTTAGAAATTATCGGGAGGAACTGTGAAAGAAATCTGGGCTTAGATTTGGATGAAACACTTGATTCCTAGGTTTAATTGAAGGTCCATGAAGAAATGGGTTAATAACTTAACGTACAAGAAATAATGGGCGAGAGAAGAGAACAATGAAATGGGTTCAGTTCGTGCCTGATCCAGCTCCATCATGAAAAATGTTACTGACGGAATCGGTGCGGATATGATCATTTCAATAAATTTGGACAATGTCACTTAGTACTACGATGTAATAGTATTTTTATTTACTTCTAAGTGAAAAATCTTAAGTTCGAATATCGAAAATGAAGAGTTGGCAACCAATTTATTTTCGCATCCCTTGGTAAAAATATATCATTGTATCTAAGTGTCCTAAACTTTCTTGCCCCACGACCTATCATTATGAACTAATCTCAAATGTTGGACTATAGTCTTGAGATAACAAGGTCCAATTGTCCCTCCACTACTAACAAGCCAAGTCCAAAGTTATCCACTCAAAAAACTCCTTGGTTATCGCCCAATTTAGTTGAACCATTAAAACGAATTGTACTATGGGTCACTGAAGCCTCAGTTGGTGGTCTGGATTGGCTCGGACTTTGTATTTCAGACCGGCTTGGCTAGGATTAGAGTGAATAAATTGGTGAGTCTTGTCTAATGTTTGTGTAGACAACTGCCCAGAACTTGTGCAACCCACTCGCCTCTCTTTAAACCAACAACCCCACAAAGGAGATGAGAGAAGGAACCAAAGATGAAAGGAGATGGAGAAGAAGGTGTCGCGTGAAAAGAGAGGAAGGTGAGCTCGCCGGAGTTCGTCGTCACGACTAAGAAGAAGAATGCTAAAATCAACCGTTGAAACTAAGAGGAGGGTCAGCGAGCTCATTGTTTCTAGGATTCCAAACAGATTGAGTTTCATAGTCCATATATAATATTTTAACCAAACCAAATGACTTTTTGAGAAAGCCAGGCATATACTTGTAGCCGGGCAAAATGGTGGTTGATTGATTTTTGTTTCAAAACAAATGATAAATTTTTTTATTTTTTACAAAGCGACAGAAATAATAAACCTTTTTTTGCAATGTAAAGTCAAAGACAATTAAGTGCTTCACTATTAATCTATCTCTAACTTAATCACTTATACAGTTCAATAATTGTAGAATTTTGTATAAAAGATCATGATACAACTACTAACGAAGTCATTCAAAATAAAAGAGACTTAATTTCGTTAAGCTTCCATGCTTTAACATGTACATTCTTAAAATAGTACATTCACAAATCGACATTTACTCAAGAGTTGTCGGATTTTTCTACGACTCCAACAACAATACACAATGATTTTAATTAATTCTTATATTATACCAACTTCAGCAATATAATTAAGCGGATAATCTTAGATCATAGCAAGCATTTATATGTGCATGGCTGCTATTCTGATGACAATGATCAATGAAGATCCGACTTATCATTAAGCCCCGAACGTGGACAACTGCATAAGGTACTCAACGAACCTCTGAAAATCTTCATAGGACCCTCCTCCTTCGGCACAAGCAATATCCAATTTCTTCTTCCACTCCACCGCCTTGTTCCTCGTCACCTTCCCACTCTCCCCCTCCATCATCTCCCTCACCAAAACCTCCACCCCCTTCCCTCTTCACATCGCTATAGATCTCCAACCCTACCCCCCCAAGTCGTGCATGCATACCTACAGTTCACTTGCTGCTTCGCGAAAAACGGCCAGCAAAGCATCGGCACCCCTCCACATATCCCCTCCACCGTCGAGTTCCAACCGCTATGAGTCAGAAACGCTCCCACGGATGGGTGCGCGAGCACTTTGTCCTGGGGGCACCATCGGGCAATCATGCCCCGAGGGATGCGAATCAAGAGGGAAAGAGAAACGACAGACTATTTCCAAGAAAATGTATTACTTGCCACATTCACATTAAAGAGGGAAGTTTTGCTTTAATATCATATAAAGAAATCATTGGTTTAGTTTGAATATCATTTAGCCATCTTTATGTCTTAAGCACATCGACAGTTAACACGTAACAATTTATGATATGAACCGATAATTTCTTTGAATCAATTTACGAATGACAACTACACGACCTGTCCCTCCCCTACTCTAATTTAGTCCTTACCCCTTCTTGAAATTATAAATAAAAATAAAATCATTCATGCAACATCAAAAAGTTTGATTAGAACAAATGCTACTATGCATGTATTGCAACAACAGCAACAGGAAAAAGATATTTGTTATATAAACAATTAGCATGTTGCATGCAGTTGTGATGTTAAAATCTGTTTGTGCAACAAAAGGGTGTCCTGTACAAGGTATAAAACTAGTTGAATAACTTTCAATTCATTAAACGTGAGCAAAATTTTCATAGTAGAAAATGTTATATCATGCTTCAATTGAGTGGACTTCATTTAGATCATTGTTCGACTCTTGATAACAAGATTAGTCCACCCTTTACATATATATGTGTGTGTGTGTGATGGTATAAAAGAACAAAGGTCCTTCAAGTTAATGAACGAAAGAAAGTGATGAATGATGATATTCTAGTGTGGTTGAGTCCATACTATAAATGTATGGATTCCAACAAACAACCAATTAAAACATGAAATCTAATATGGACATTTAATTAAATGTTTAGTAATATTTGTGATGCGGTTCGGTTTTGATTTGGTTTTCAAAAGCCAAAACTAAAACCAAACCGTTTTGTACGTTGCGGTTCAGTTTCAAAACCAAAACCTTCAAAACCGCAAAACCAAACCGTTCGGTACGGTTCAATTTGGTTCGTGGTTCTAAATGCCCACCCCTAATAAAATCTATTTATATTGGGCCGAATGAGCTTCGGCCAGTGCCTAATATGCAAGGCCCAAACGTTTCGTATTTAAAAATATGACGAGTAAGGCCCGGCCCTATGACCGAGTTGGAGCAGTCCGAAGCCCACTTTTAGTTTCCACCATTGGATGAAAATGTTAACTCAAATATTAAACAGTTGGTACAACATATGCACTCCACGTGGAACATGGGTCCCACCAACATCTGGTTCTTCGACACATTGGCTAGAGTCCTGGGTCCCACTCTTAAACCCTCGGGTTCCCTATAAAAGCCCAGTCTACCAAACACCGTACGCAACTCCTCCGTCGTCAGCTCTCACCTGAGAAGCTTTAATCGAACAAAACGCGCAAGAGTCCGCGTTCCGAGTTCCGATGGACTCGTCCTCCGCATCCTCAGCTCCTTCGGCTTCCTCTGTGCACTTAGCCATGGCGGCCTTCGTCGGCGCCTCCCTCATGGCCATCTCCGCCTTCTACATTCACAAGCGCAGCGTCGATCAGGTCCTCCAGCGCCTCATTGAGTTCCGCTGCAAGCCTAATCGAGTTTCCGGCAACCGCGCCGCGGTCGAAGCCGAAGAAGAAGAAGTTTACAACGATGACGAAGATGAGCGAGGGTTTGATTCCGACGGCGAGGTCGCTGACGTGGCAATTGATCGGAAGATGCGGCCGAGGTCGGTGGAAGATAAGGCTCTTCACTCGTATAGGATATCTTCTTCGCTGCCCAATGTGGCTATGAGGAGCGGCGATTGGGTGGAAGAGGAAGCTAGGTTCGATCGGCCACGCAATTTTGGATCTCCAGGGGTTTCTTCTTCGTTGGACAAGCTCAATTTCATTCCCTCCGGGCTTCCGCTTCTTCGGACCGATCAGAGAAACGGTTTGCGTTCTAAGCTTCTACTTGTATTTCTCAGTATTTTAACTTAAATTGCGGACATTTTTCATAAGAAATGATATTTTCAGAAAAATTGCTTTTTTTTTTGGTAAAATGTGACTAGGGTTGGAAATGGAGGCCAACTTTCAAAGTATTGTAGGTAGAAATGGATTAGATCAATCCCAATTAGCTTTGTGTTTTTATTTCATCTTGCTTTTTGTAGGAGAGGGTCAGTCTGCTACTCACTCTAGTACCAATACAAGGACACCTATTGGTAGGTTAATGACTCCGAGATCCCAGGCTGGAAATGCCCTCGAAAGTATTGGAGACTCCGACGAGGAAGGAACTGAGTATGCAAATGAAGATGACGATATTTTCAACTACGGGAATGCAGATGCTTTAGATAATTCCATAACTGTACGTGTGCCTTTAATCCTAGCTTATTTTTTCCCATGCTTTGCCTTGATGCTTATTGGAAAATGATCATTGTTTTTTATTTTGTTTTTTGTTTTCAGTCAGTTTACCAAAATGAAGGTACAGATGTGAAGGGTTGAAAGCAATGATGCAAACCAATAGATTCAGACAATTACCTGGTCATGCCATGTTCATAAAGAATCCATTCTTGACAATGACGAAATAGATACTGTAAATAAGCATCCTATAATGAATGCCAATACTGTACTTATCATAAAGTAAGAAATGTAGAAATTGCCTGGAACCTTTTTTGAAATGAGAACTGTTGCGTGTGTATGGCTAAAATATCAACAGATTGTACTACAGCACATAAGAATCTCTCTATACATGATACATGTTTACTTTGCGTAGTATAGGGCCCTCTTGATGAAACAAAAGAATCTAGAACCAACCCATTTTACTAGTAATTGGATTTGCAGGATGTAAATTCATACCTTCAAGGTTCTTCTGCACTTCTACATAAAAGTGATGTTAAGAATTTTATACTAGGTCAAATGTATCAAATGACATTAAGTGAAGCAAAATCTGTTGTGGATCATCAAGGTGATGGAAAGGTAGATACAGCTTCAGCACACTCGGTGAAGAAGGATCTAAATTTTACCAGCATAGTTTCACCAATGACTTCATCAATGCGTGGTAATTCCAATGACTTCATTAATGTTGCAGCATATTCGATTCTGACTTTGTAATCATAGAAAGGCTGCTTTTGTGGCAAGTGAATTAAAACACACATTTAGTCATAACCTATGACGAAATATATCATTGAATGATGGCTAATAACTTGTGATTCCATTGTGATTTTTCGAAACAATTATGTTCAGAGTCAATAAGCAAAGAAGAAGAGGAAGTACATAAAATGATTCGAGAATGCTTGGATCTGCGTAAGAGGTATCTTTACAAGGAAGAGGTTGCTCCATGGATGGTCGCTAGGCTAGAATCTATTGCATCAGAGAAGAAAAGTGACCCATTTCATTTTGATCCTGTGGAAGCATCAACTGTGAGTCATTTTCTGCTCATTTATAATGTTTCCTTCCTTCCTTGCAGCATGTAGAATCTGTAGGGATTTGGAGTGTCCAACTGAATTATATTGTCATTAAGTTTTTGTTTAATTCCTATTTCCTTCAAACTTTTCTTGCAGCATTGCTTTAGGATGGAAGATGGTGTCATACATGTTTATGCGAGTGAAAAGGGTAAGCACTAAAATTTTATTTGTAGTTTAGTATAAGTGATACATTATTAGGTGTCTGACTTTGTCAAATGGGCTTACTCTTGTGTGAGTATTTTTAGCTACTTGAGCGAAGAAATCTTGCCTTCTAAGACCTTACCTTTTACTAAAATTTATTTTCTGCAGACCCTGTAGATGTATTCCCTGTTGCAAGTGCAACGGAATTTTTCACGGACATGCATTATCTTCTAAAAGTTATGTCTATTGGAAATGTTCGCTCTGCATGCCATCATAGGTTGCGATTTCTTGAGGAGGTTGGTTCATTAAATTTGTGTTTGTCTTGACATATGTTTTGGGTCTCTATTTATGACTTGTCTGAACATCATGCAGAAATTTCGTGTTCATCTGTTGCTAAATGCGGATATGGAATTTTTAGCTCAGAAGAGTGCACCACACCGTGATTTTTACAATGTTAGAAAAGTTGATACACATGTGCATCATTCTGCTTGCATGAACCAGAAGCATCTCCTCTCATTCATCAAGTCAAAGCTAAAAAAAGAACCTGATGAGGTAGATACTATATCCCTTTATAGTTGTTCGTTTACTGAACTTGCTTTGAATATTTGTTTCAGCACTGTTATTTTTGGTCATGGATTTAAACTTTAAAGAGAAGCCATGGCCATTTGGTTTCTCAACAACAGTTAAATTTTACTTCCTTACTATGGTGCTCAACTTAAACTGGGCAGGTTGTCATATTCAGAGATGGAAAATATCTTACACTTAAGGAAGTTTTTGAGAGTTTGGACTTGACAGGGTACGGTTAACCTTGATCGTGTTATAGGTATCTGTCAATTATAGACTCTATCTCTCTGTAACTGACGTGTTTTGCATTTTAGGCATGACCTGAATGTTGACTTATTGGATGTTCATGCGGATAAGAGTACTTTCCATCGATTTGACAAATTCAACCTAAAGTATAATCCATGTGGACAGAGCAGACTTCGTGAAATATTCTTGAAGCAGGACAATCTTATCCAAGGTATGATCACAATGAATGTGAAGCCCTTGATTTCAGTAACTTCATCTACACTATTTTCTGCTGGGAAGGATGTGCATCTCAAAATCAACTGCATCCTAATGCAACGCAACCTATATTGCACCTTTCTCTTAATCTTATTCTATTCCTTCTGCTCGTGTCTCACAAAGTTGGTTTGATTATTTGTAAAAATTGCAGGGCGGTTTTTAGCAGAAGTGACAAAAGAAGTTTTGTCAGATCTTGAAGCCAGCAAATACCAGGTTTTTTATTTGAACTTTTATATTTACTTTATATGGTCTTGGAAAATGTAAATTATCTGTTCAGGGCTCTCTCTCTCTCTCTCTCTGTGTTACCCTCTCTTCCTCCCTGTGCTAATTTTAGTAAAGTATTTCTCTAAGTGGGTTATCATGTAATGGTATGTTTTGATGAATGCCCATAAACTTCAGGAAATATTGTACTTGTATGAGTTATTTATAAAAGAAAGATTGTTAGTAAACTTTTTATATCATTCATCTTTTTTTCAGATGGCAGAGTACAGGATTTCAGTTTATGGAAGAAAACAAAGTGAGTGGGATCAGTTGGCTAGTTGGTTTGTTAACAATGAAATTTATAGTGAGAATGCTGTCTGGTTAATACAGGTATCTAAATATTTCTTACTTTATCTTTTTCTGTTCTGTTGTGTGAGTGGTCAACTGTTTGTCTGCCCTGCGGATCTTGTACTATTGATGGCGTTGTTCTTACTGCGCTGGGCTCATATCATTAGATATAGCCTGCGCCTATGTGTGGTTGGAATTTGGCTCATCAATATGCACCTATTTTACATGACCTCACAATGTTTAGTAATAATCAAAATTTGCAGCTACCACGGTTGTACAATATCTACAAAAAGATGGGAATTGTCACCTCTTTCCAGAATATTTTAGACAACGTGTTCGTGCCACTCTTTGAAGCTACAGTTGATCCAAACTCCCATCCTCAACTACATTTGTTCCTGATGCAGGTTGGTCAAACTTCTGGATACATAGATGCCACTTATCCATTAGAAATACAATTTTAGAGTTGTGCTAGATAGTTTTGTGTGTCGAGAGAATTTCATGATCAAATCCCCTGAAATAACTTAAATGATGGTTTTAGTTGGGTAAAAGACTCTTAAATCAAGAAAATATTATGTTTCCTATGCTTGAACATGCATTTTCCCAAATACTCAAAGTGAAGAATTATACAAAAAACTGGGTAGAGGTCCGTAGTATCGACAGTCTGTAGTTTTACAACGTAGAAGGTGATAACTTCTAGCAATCATTTACAATAAAGGATGAACCTTCTATACCCTTAAAGTCATCCACCATAAATTTCCAGCTGGTGAGAATCTTAATACTTGTAGCTTTGCAATAATTATACCAGATGTGCTAACGTGGCAATCCATTTGAAACAGGTGGTGGGTTTTGACGTTGTAGATGATGAAAGTAAACCAGAACGCCGTCCAACTAAACATATGCCAACACCATCTGAATGGACTAATGAATTCAATCCTGCATACTCTTATTATGCATATTACTGCTATGCAAACTTGTACACTCTTAATAAGGTTAGCAACTCCATATCCTTTTAAATGAAATCGATGATCAATTATAGTTGGGTGATATTGAAATTGGTTTCGCTCTCTTGTTTTCCTTTGTTTCAGCTGCGTGAATCTAAAGGAATGCAAACAATCAAATTTCGGCCTCACTGTGGAGAGGTTATTGTCTGCAGCCTAAACACAGGTATTACTCTTTAGTGATGATTGTGATCTCATGATTTTTATATGTCATGCAGGCGGGTGATGTTGACCATTTGGCTGCTGGATTCCTTGTATGCCATAATATTTCTCATGGGATTAATCTTCGGAAAACCCCTGTTTTGCAGTATCTGTATTATCTGGCACAGGTTAGCTCTTGTGACTTGATTCGCTTATTTGTCCATGCCATTTAGTTTCATTTCCAGTTTGCTATTGACCTTTGCTTCTGCATTATATGTGATATCAATACAATTAGTAACCTCCTCTAACTGCAGGTTGGATTGGCAATGTCACCTTTGAGCAACAATTCCCTTTTCTTGGATTACCATCGCAACCCCTTTCCTATGTTCTTCCAACGTGGTCTAAATGTCTCACTCTCAAGTGATGATCCTCTCCAAATTCATTTGACAAAAGAACCACTTGTGGAAGAATATAGTGTTGCAGCACAGGTTTGTTGATTTATGATCTTTGCCAGTCTTCATAGTCGTGGCCCTGTAATGTGCATCTTATCAAATCAGTGTGATGCAGGTATGGAAGCTCAGTGCTTGTGACCTCTGCGAGATAGCTAGAAATTCTGTCTATCAATCAGGATTTTCACATGTAGCAAAGGTGAGGAAATTTACCAAAGGAAAATTCTGTGTTCCTGAGAAATATGAACCATCCAATTAATACCCTAAACGGCTTTCACCGTGATTAATTCCTTTTTTCTCCTCGTGCAGGCTCATTGGCTTGGTAGCAAGTACTTCCTGAGAGGACCTGAAGGAAACGATATGCAGAAGTCAAACGTGCCCCATTCGAGGATTGCCTTTCGACATGAGGTAACTGTTTATGGTTAAACTACTCCAAAATCCCTCCCTCCCTCCCCCTTCCACTTTTTCATGCTGAATGATCCGCTTTTTGCAGACTTGGAAGGACGAAGTACAGTATATCTTTTCAGGAAAAGCGAGGTTTCCAGAAGAAGTAGATCCATGAAGCAAATGTACCAAAGTGTTGCTTCTTCCTAGTAGTCCGATTCCAATGGAATGACAGTGCTTAGTTAGCGCCGACGTCAAAACTTCCCCAGGCCCTTGTTCAGCTGATTTTGAACCGAAATTGGGCGGTACTAATTTAAGTCGCGTACAAGTTTTGAAGGAAGAAACGTAGGAAAATATTGATCCAGTTTTGTTCTAGTCTGTAGACTTTGGCTTTCTATAGGCTCCGAGTCCCTGGAAATCATCCTCTGCCACTGTTAACGAAACCTCTACTATCAAGCTTTAAGAAACCAACCCTAATTATATTTGATGGACGTGTTATCGTAATGTTTATGATGTTTGTCTTCCGATTTAGATTCCCATGTTTTTGGGTTGCAACGATTGTAAGCTCCGGCGGACGCACAGCCAGTGCCTACAACGGTTGCAAGTTTTTCAGGGCTCCATGGTCCGTCAATTAGGATCGGATCTATGAGAATGAGGATCCTCTCCGGATTCGGATCTGGGGATCCTCAAATTGTGTCTGTTTATCGTACATCATGCGATCAGAAATCATTTTAAATATTTTTATTTAAAATTAAATATGAATAGTATTTAACAAAAACTGACTTCATGATATACGATGAATAAACACGATTTGAAAATCCCAGAATCTTCATCCGGAGAGTATACTGCTGGCATTTATCATCAGTGGGAAGAACTAGTCACAAATACGAAGTTCAAAACGGTTACATTCGGTGCCAGACCGTCAAACCACCAAATCCCAAATCACTCGTTCGCTCATCCAAATCAGAAAACATTCAAAAACACATTAAAAGGCGAATGACACTTTACTGCAGTGTCAAACAAATAACAGGTCTATGTATTTTAGCGAAAACAATCATTACAACTAATAATTTAGGTTGCTAACATTATCTTTTGTCAAAAAGAAAATTTAAAAGAAATTACTATTAACATTTTAAAATTTGAAAAATACGAAAGAGATTTTTGTCGAAATGAAACTCTTTATGAACTTCCACCTACTACACAGTTTAACATTAATTTTTCATGCTAATATTGTAAAAAATTGTACAAAATATTGAGTTGACAATAAGTCTATAGAAAATCCTACTGTTAGGAGAATCTCCTTAACATTTCTCTTAAAATTTTAATTCTATATTTTTAAAGCGAAAAATAGCTGAAAAGTATACAATTTTTGGAGTAGCAACGTATTTACCCATAAAAATTGTGTTTGTATTGTGCCCCAAACATTTTATTAAGGGCAATATTGTAAACTCATCTTCTAGGGATAATACTTAGAGGTTAAGAAAAACTGTTAGTTTGTTACTATAAGATTCCTCTTAGTTAGAAAGTTGCTATGACATAGTTAGCCTACACAACTTGTATATATACTAAAAGGTTAACTTTATTCATTTGTGAAATGAAAAATAATTTTTCTAATATGGTATCACCTGCCGACGTCACACAACTTCTCTCTATTTGATCCAAAATTTCCTGCTTATCTTTGTGTGCTTATCTCTGTGCTTTCTTGTAGATTGATCGTCTCATTTCCAATCTTGATCGTCTCTGAGTTCTTCTCCTCTTTGTCTTTATGGCCATGGCGACCTCCGCCTCTCCTTTATCGACATCAAATTCTCAGATTCATCCTCCGACTGCATCCTCAAATCCTAATTCTTCGAACTCTGCTTCAATTACAATTCAGAACATCAGCTCTATGGTTCCGATTAAGCTTACCACTACCAATTACCTGACATGGAGTGCTCTCTTCACTTTCGTCGGTATAATCTCACAGGTTTGATTGATGGCTCTTTGCCTGCACCGCCTCAATTTCCTACTGATTCTTCAGGGAAACGCAGTCGTAATCTGGCGTATTGCTTGGTTTGAGAATGATCAAAACATTCTCATCTGGATCAACTTAACTCTCTCTGAATCCCTAGTTCCCTATATTGCCGCCACCTTACACTCTCACATCCACGAACTCCGATCTCGCCTTCGCAGTCTCACTAAATGGAATCTCATTGCTGCTCAATATGTTCAATGCACTGAGGAAATCGATGATGCTCTTACCAGTACTGGTGCTCCAATTGAAGATTCTGAATTAATCTCTGTGATTCTTCACGGCTTACCTCCAGAATTTGACTCTTTTGTGGATGCAATTCAGTTTCGCCATGGTTTCACAACAATTGATGAGTTACATGGTTTGTTTCTCAGTAAAGAGATCCAACTGAATAATCGCAAGCAAAGTGCACCGGTGTCATCCTTTCAGGCCTACAACACCTCCACTGGTATTCTTCCGTTACATGTTCACTCTACCTCTCAAGGATATGTTGCTCATAATTCATCTTCTTTCAACACTCCAAGTTGTGGACTGGATTGAAATTTCAATCGAGGCAACCACAACAATCGTGGAAATTTTAGGCTGAATAATAATAAGAGGTTCAATAATTTCAATCGAGGCAACAATCAGGGTTACAATCATGGAGCTCGGTCTAATTTTTCATCTAACAGGCCCTGAACAAGTGTACATTGGTAATGGCAAAGGTTTGCTTATCACTCACTCTGGTTATTCTTCTATTAACACTTCACATAGCAATTTTGCACTTCAGAATGTGTTATATGTGCCTGATTTGAAACATAATTTACTCTCTGCAAATCAATTTTTAATTGATAATCACTGTTTCATGCATCTTTATCCATTTCACTTCACTGTGAATGATCTTTCTTCGCGGATGATGCGTTTTAAAGGTCATGTCCAACATGTTTTCTATCCATTTCATCACTCTTCTCAAACTGATGACAAGCATACAACACTCACTGCTACCATGAAAGCTTCAAGGAACCTTTGGCATAGACGATTGGGTCACCCTTCAGTCAAGATTATCAATAAACTAGATTCTCATTCTTGTATCTCAGTTTTACAGAATACGAATAAATCCTTTTGCTTATATTGTGCATTAGAAAAATGTTCTAGACTACCCTTTGTATCCACTACATGTACCATAAGGAAACCACTATAACTCATTCATACAAATGTTTGGGGACCCTCACCTATATTGTCTCATAATGGTTTCAGGTACTATGTCATATTTGTGGATGATTTTACCAGATATTGTTGGTTTTATCCTATGAGATATAAATCTGATGTACTATCCATATTCATGCAATATAAATCTATGGTTGAAAATATTATGTGCACAAAGATTATTGCTTTGAGATCTGATTCTGGTGGTGAATTCATGAGCATTCTATTTTCTAATTTCTTGGCAAAGCATGGTATACAACACAACTATCTTGTCCACACACCCTATAACAAAATGAGTGTGCAGAACGTAAACACACACATCTTGTGGAAATTGCACTGACCCTTTTGGCATCATCTAAAGTTCCTCACCTATATTGGGTTGAAGCATTTGCAACTGCCATCTATCTTATCAACAGGTTGCCTACTATTTCTCGATGTTCACCTTAGGAGTCTCTCTTCAAGAAAGTGCCTAATTATGGCACACTGAAAGTCTTTGGTTGCCTATGTTTCCCATGGTTGAAGCCTTATACCTCATCTAAGTTGGATCCCAATAGTAAGTCTTGTGTTTTCTTGGGCTATAGTCTCAACCATAAGGGGTACAAATGTCTTGATCCCATCATAAGGAGAATTTATATCTCTCGGCATATACTATTTGATGAGTGCACCTTTCCATTCCATCAACTTTACCATTATTCCTCTACTTTCTAACCTCATCCTCTCATCCTATCTTCTGCCATATGATCAATCATTCCTACCATATCTTCACCACCTATATTATCCGCAACATCCTCACCCTCCTCTCAATCTGCACCTCAATCTAATCTCACTTCCCCACTTGTACCTTCATCAGATTCTTTACCTAGTGATCATTCCCCATCACCACTTAACATCCATCCTATGCAAACTTGATCTAAGTCCGATATATACAAGCCTAAAGCTCTCACTACAACTTAACATCCCCTACCCTCTCATTTGTCACCAGATTACTCCCACAACCTATCTACAAGCCTCCAAGCATCCACATTGGCGTCATGCAATGCATAAGGAATTTAATGCTCTCCTCAATACTGGCACATGGTTACTTATTGCTTAGCATTCCTCTCAGAACATTGTTGGCTGTAAATGGGTTTTCCAGATCAAACAGAATCCTGATGTATCTATAGATCGATATAAGGCATGGCTTGTTGCCAAAGGTTTTCACCAACATGAAGGTCTTGATTACACTTAGCCATGTGGCTAAATATGTGACAATCCGAATCTTACTCACTCTGGATGTTCAATTTGACTGGTTTTTGAGCCAACTCGATGTCAGCAATGCATTCTTGCATGACACTCTCTCTGAATCTGTTTTTATACAGTAGCCTCCTGGATTTGAAGACTCTACCAAACCAAATCATGTGTGTCAGCTCCATAAATCCTTAGATAGCCTGAAACAGGCTCCTTGAGCCTAGTATGATAAGTTACTTGCTGCACTTCATTCTCTCAGATTTATTGGCTCTCAAAGTGATCATTCTCTCTTTGTGAAAAATGATCATTCCTTGGTTTTCATTATGGTTTATGTGGACGATATTCTGGTCACTGGAACTTCCTCTACAGCTTGTCAAACTGTGATCAAACAGCTCAGTACTATGTTTCCTATTAAAGATCTTGGAGCTTTGCACTATTTTATTAGCATTGAGGTCAAACGGTATTTTATTGGAATTTTCCTATCTTAAATGAAATACATTTTGGATCTGTTAACTAAAGCCAAAATGGTTAGAGCCAAATTTTGCAGCGCACCACTCAACACCTCCAATATTAATCATGACTCTCCTCTTATTGAGAATGTTTCTGAATATTGATCTTTGGTTGGTGCTCTCCAATACCTAACCTGGACACGCCCAATCTCAGTTTTGCTGTTAATCTTGTGTGTCAGTTCATGCATACTCCCAGAGTTTCTCATTTCCAAGTTGTTATGAGAAAACTTAGGTATCTCAAAGGAACCATTGACCTTGGCCTCTGGTTTTCTAAATGTTCTTCACTCTTTATATCACAGCTTTCTCAGATGCTGATTGGCCTGGTTGTACTTTGGATAGGCGATCTACTAGGGGTTATTGCATCTTTCAGGGCAATTCCATTATCAGTTGAAGTGCTAAAAAGCAACCAACTGTAGCTTGTTCTTCAACAGAGGCTGAGTATCGGCCCCTTGCAAACATTTCCTCTGAAATCACTTGGATTTGTAAACTGCTTACTGATATAGGCTATTGTCTGCCTTGTTCTCCTCAACTTTGGTGTGACAATATCTCTGTTATATCTCTTGCCAAGAATCCTATCTTTCATGCTCGGACGAAACATGTGGAGACCAACTATCACTATATTCGGAAAAAGGTCTTGGCCAAACCAGTCTGCCTTCACTTCATCTGCACCCAATATCAAGTGGCTAATATGTACCAAATCTCTATCTAAGTCCAGATTTCTGTTTCTCCAAGACAAACTTCAACTTCGAGTTTCGCAGTTTCGCAGTTTCTTTTAAGGAAGGATATTAAGGGCAATATTGTAAACTCATATTCTAAGGATAATACTTAGAGGTTAAGGAAAACTGTTAATTTGTTATAATAAGATTCCTCTTAGTTAGAAAGTTGTTATGGCATAGTTAGCCTACACAACTTTTATATGTACTGAAAGTATAACTTTATTCATTTTTGAAATGAAAACATATTTTCCTAATACATTTCACCTCCTATTTAATATTTGGCAAACCATCTCCCAAAGGGCCAAAAACCCTTCATTCCACCTCTCCCCCTCTCTCTCTCTCTCCCTCTCTCCCTTCCCAAATTCCCTCCCGCCGCTTCGTTATCTCCAAAACCCTTACCACCACGCCGCCGCCTGGTGGTGCTTCTCCGATAACCCGAATTACAAAACCGTAGAACTTCCGCAGCAGCCGAAATGGAGGCCACGGCGGCTTCGGACCTCTCCGACGGACCAGTCCTCAGCCTCATCAACAAGCGCATCCGAGCCCTCCGCAAAAAGCAGAACCGCATAATCCAGATGGAGGAGTCTCTTGCCCAAGGCAAGGTCCTCAACAAGGAGCAGGAGGGCGTCCTCAAATCCAAGTCCGGCGTCTTTGCCCTAATCGAAGAGCTTGAGAAGCTTCGACAGCCTCTCGCTGACGCCGTCGCCGAAGAGCAAAGCCTCGCCGTGCAGCGCCATCAGGTCTCCGCCTCTACCCAGCCTATCTCCGATGATAAGCCCAATGTTGTCCAGCCCAGTGAATCGGACGATTGCCAAGCTGCCGCCGTCGAAGAGCTTCTGAATCTGCTCTACTTTGGGTCCTTGTTCGACGTGAAGTCGCAGAGTGACTTCACCCGGATTATTCTAACCAGGACCCACGAGAGAGAATGCTGCTTGACCTACGATACCATCACTGACGACGACACTGAGATGCTGGCCCCGAGGGACTTGGATTTGATTTCGTCTCTCGGTGGATTTTTGATCTCGCGGCCCGGCGATTCCAGCTTGTCGCATAAGAATGCGTTGCAGCAATGCCTCGAACACGCCAAGCGTTGGCTCGCTAAATCGGAGCAACCCATTGAGCCGAATTCCAATGTGACATGTAAAGTTTCTATCTTTTTGTGAAATATTTAGTTGGTTTTTGTAAATGATTGAAATTCTGTTTTCTATGTGGCTTCTTCGTTGACATCAATGGTTTAATTTGTGTGCAGATGCGGGCTTGAGAGAGAGGCTCAGTAAGATTATGGCTTCGGACTACTTTACCACAACGCCGCAAATGAAAGAAGTTTCGGCCGCAGCAGCTGCAGGGAACTATGCTCCATTTCAGGTGCCGGTACATGAGCCTATCTTGCCTGTTGAAGTGCCTGTCCAGTTGGATTTCCAGCAGAAGGTATTATTGATTTAGTTGTAAATTTTCGTCATTTGTGATATGCTTTGAGTTGTTCTATTAACAATTTGGGGCTTAATTCATTATGATGGTTTTGGTGTTTTGATTGTGAGGCATATGATTTGTATTATTGTGGTATTTCTTATGAGATATTGTTTTATATTTTTCTGAGTTGCTGTTGGTGTTTATGATAAAAGAATAAAAGTAAAGACTATTTCAGCATCTCTGCTTATAACTGCATAAAAATAGTTGCCGTTGAAGCAAGCAGAGACAGTCTCCAAAATGGTGGATTTGGGTTGGTTACGTGGCAAGCTATTGAATCTGGCAGTCAAAACGCTTAAACATAGATGCATGTTAGGTGGACAATGTAGCATGAGTACTGAACTTTCTTTTATTTTGAAAGTTTTAAGAACTGTTGGCTTTGTCTTTTCTTATTCGTGCTACTGCTTCTCTTGTGGGTGATGCCAACCTTGAACTCTAAGATATAGTGATCTGATTCAACTCTATTACTCTCAGGTGTAGTAATAGCTTTCACGAGTTTAAAAAGGGTTTAATTTGACCGGAAACTGGAAGTCGGTATTAACAGTCTTATGAAGGAATGAGTTGTTGGCTACTACCTACCCTTCCAGACGCAAGTTAAGGGTTTAGGGAAACCATGAAATAGTGAATGATGCTTTTTATTTAAACTGACCAACATGAAATTGGTATTTGGTGCTACATGAAACTAAGATTGTTTGAACCGCAAGCATAATTAGGTCTCACAAAGATTTTGTTTTATCTATTGGACATCAGAAGTTTTTATTCTTGCTGTGTATTGTGTATGGGAATATGTGCCCTCCCCTTCCCAACAATGATCCGTGAAATTTTTATGTGCTTCGTATATGTAGGACAAGGATCACAATTATTCTTAACACTATGCCTAATAATTATTAGAATCTTTCAACATGCACGGGTGTATTTGGTTTGAGATTAATAGGAGTCTTTTTTTTTTGGTTATTAATGCAAATGAAAACATCATTATCTCCTTCACAGATGAACTATGCATAGTAAAGTAATGCAACTTCGGACTTTGTGAAGGAGGTATTTGAACTCGTCCACTTTTGCTAGTTGTTGGGAACAGTGTATTGACGAATAATTCAGAATCCGAATAAGTTCAGCCAGGGGACAAATCAATAGGAAATGCTATTTTCTTTGTATGGATAATTTATGCTTGCCTACTTTGGGGGCCACGTGACTGACATTCTTGAATTTCTATGCAACAACTAAAACTTTGATTAGGCAATGGTTAAAGAGGTACTGTGTCTCCTTCTGGCTGTGTAGTATTTTACTCTCTTTACTTCTTAAGGTCAGAGGTAGAAAAGTGTTTGTGGTTGTTAATTTATAAATAAAGAATATAAAGAAACATCTGTTTTAGCATCAGCCTTCTTTGCATGTGCGGGGTGATGTAAACAAGTGCATCGTGATCAATCTAAATATTGGATTCAAGATTATCTAATGCATGGCCACCTTTCTCTTTGTTATTATATCTCCAGATATACTAAAGCTCTGTTTTATCTTTTCGAAGTTTCTATTAGGTATGGTAATTTTGTGGCTTTCTTTTCCTTTATTTTTTGGTTTACCCGAGCGTGAATGATAAACAAGTGAGAATGCAATTTTTACTAGTTTCCGTTTGACAATACATTTGGCGTCGTTTTCTTTATTTCAAGTTCATTGCTGTGCTGTTTTCTGGTCACACACCTCCTCATCTTACTAGCACTAGCATCCATCCCTATATGGGCTGTTAACAGTCGCACTCCGTCCCATCTTTCAGTCACCCCCTTTCTCAACTTCTGCTATCTTTGTGCGTGCTTTACACCATATTTGTTTGAAGTTGTTAGGAACAAGAAATTATTAGCATGAAATCTTCAAACTTAATGAAAGTTGTTTAATCAACTATAAGTAAGTGTAAAATGATTATTTGATTTTTTTTCCTGTTATTGTTGACTGAGTGATAGATTTTGGTCAAGCAATACGCATTGAATTTTCTTTAAATGCTCTGTAGGTTGAAGACACTGCAAATTTTCAAGGACATGATACTGTTGATAGCCAATCGAGTCATACAGAGGAACTTCAGAAGGTGCTCTCAGCATAGCATTCGACAGTTGGTTCTTCTTATTTTAGCATTTTAAGGTCAATTTTTTTTTTGGAATTTGCATCTAGTTTATTGAATGTGGGAGGTTCTTTCTTTGCAGGATGAAGTAGTGAAAGAAAATCAGTCGGAGGCTGTCTCAGCTCAACAAGAACAGGTTCAGCTAGAAACAGAAGCAGACTACAACCAGAGAGATGTAGAATTCGAGCAACAGCATGCTTCTCGCAGACCATACCAAAACCAAAGAGGTGGTCGTGGGGGAGGTGGCCGTAGAGGTTACACTAATGGCCGTGGAGGTCGAGGTAATGGCAGAGGAGGTGGTTCCTTCCAGAATGGTCGCAACCAGTATTACGACCAGCCTGGAAGTTACTATCCAAGACCCTACTATAACAACAGGGGAAGGGGCGGTAGGGGTGGCGGGTCCTCATACAACCACCAAGGTGCAGCTCAAGAGGGTCATGCCTCGGCCAACGTTGGAGTTGCTTCATAATGGTACTTTCAGTCTCTGTAGAATGTTTCTTTCTAGTTTTTGTATGGGGCGGTGGGGTGGAGACGTTTGCCGCATTGCATGAAACATGGTTTTTCGATGTGGGTGGTTGACGGACTCACCATCTGGGATGGTTTTTGGTCGTCTGTCGTTCAGTTAATGTGTTTTGTGTTGGAAAACCTCCAAAGATATAAAGATGTTGAAGTATTTTTGGGACGTTGTTTGACTTTAATTAACCCCGGTGCGGCGGTGCCTGATGCCTGATGATTAAATTTCTTCGTCCGACTACAATTTATTATACTTATTGATGGAAATGGTTCGTGTTTGGGTTTACTTATCCGTGTTGAGTCTCGACCCTCGAATCTGTATGCAAATAGTTTACAGTTGCTCATACCGTTTGTCAGAGAAATTAAAGTTGTTATTTTGTATTTGATTATTTGAACAGTGTGCTGTTTTGAACAAATGAAAATATAAGGGTTTTTTTTAGTTAAAATAGTATCTGAGATTAACATAATTTTTTACTTTGGTCTTGAGATTTAAAATTTGTAGAATTGATTTTTGAGTTTGTCCATTATCAATCATTTTAGTTCTTCTGTGAAATTTTTTCGTTAAATAAAAATAAAATGACAAAAATACTCTTAATTTTAATCAAAATATTTTGACATATTATTTATTAAATTGAAGGTTTTTTTTTTTTTTTTTTGTCAATTTTGTTTTTTTTTAATAGAAATTCTTCATGGAGGGAGATGGTGGAATAACTCATTCACCATTACTATTTATTTCAAATCTCAATTACCAAACTGAGGAGATGTCAATCTCAGAAACTATTTTAGCTAAAATATCTAGATATAATTGTATAAATAATATATCTGTTTGGTATATTGAATTTCTTTTTTGGAAAAATTACAGATAAAATATACTTTTAGTACTTAATTTCACATCGAGACCACTTTTTAAATATTTTAAGGAGAGAGAAAAATTAATACATGTGAAAGATGACATTATTTACTTTTTTATCTTTTCTTTAGAGTGTAAGTTACAAAAATATCCTTTATCTTTTGCATTTGTTCACACTTCTTTCTCCTGTTCCCTTATCTTTTTTTTTTTTTCCTCTTTCTCATGCTCCCTCTCTCTCTTTTTTTCTCGAATCTCTCTCTCCCTTCCTTTTCCCCATTTCATCAGTAAACAAATAACAAATATCGATCCATACATCAATAAAATCTTAATTTATGCATGTGCCTGATCAAGAAGACACGGTACGACGAAGCACAAACCATTCTTCACGATTTGTCACAAGGTCATCTTCAAGAATTTAACAAGCCCAAGTAAAAAATTTGATCTGAGGAAATATTGCAGGAGCTAGCTAGAACTAGGGGTGGAAAAAATTCCCAAAAATCCCTAACCGAACCGAAAAAATCCCGATCCCAAACCAAAAATTTCCCAAACCGAAATTCCCGAAATTTTCGGGATGCTATCCCGAACCGATCCCAAAATTTCGGTATGGGATTCGGGATTGGCTTCTCGATATTTCGGGAATCCCATACCGAACCGAAAATATATAATATTAATTATTATATATATATATATATATATTATTCTTTTATAATTGATGCTAGTAGTTTCTAATTCATGCTCTGCAACCTGGAATGCCCTACACCTTGCATATTTTTCATGTTTTGTTTGATATTCATGTGGATTTTATTATTGATGCTGCCATGACTGATGATTTTAGAAGGCTTGATTTTTTTGTCTCTCAACATATTGCAAAAAGGGTTTAATTAATTTGAATTTTGACTATGATAAAAACAGTCAGGCATGCCAGTGTTCAATTAAATGGTAGTGTGAATGAAATGAAATTCCTAGTTCATGAATGTGTTCTTGAATTATATATTTGAAGAACAATTCATAATTTCATATTTCAATTTGGGATTCCCGATTTGTCCCAAAATCCCGAAAATATTTCGGGATTCCTGAAATTTGGTTTAGGATTGGTCTTCAAATTCCCGTCCCGAAAAATTTTGGTTTGAGATTCGGGATACTAGTTTCGGTATGGTATCCCATACCGAACCACCCCTAGCTAAAACAATGTTAACTTGTAGGTTTGTCTACCAACTCTTTATATTTAAATATAAAAAAAAGCTTTTCTCGGGGAGCTTGACCACTTGGTGAAGCATTGAAATCCTCTAAGGTAAAGGAGACTTCCCATATTTGAAGAGATTTCTTCATTTAGAAATGAGTTAGTTTGCTAATTTTGTAGAGATTTATAGATGTTGAAGTGGATCTTAATTTGAATTCTACTATAAGTTAGAAGGCCAGTACCAAAATAGCTGATATCTGTACAAGAACAACATCATTGAAATTTATTTTTCTTTACCTCGATTAAATTATGGTAACAAAAATAGGGTGACATCTTTATAGTTCTGAACTAACATATATAGTTTTATTTTGTTAATTTGAACAAAAGCATACTTATTTTCTAGTTACTGAGCTTAAAGTATCACTATAATTTATGTTTTATTTCTTCTTCTTATTTGCTTTCAGGTTCAAAATCTACTGATGAAACAAATAAAGATTTGTATGCGAGGATTAGCGAAATATAGTTTACTTTGTATTGTAATTTTGTTGTATTTTCGTTGGGTTGTACAGGGAGCTGAGTTTGTAAATGAATCTATTAAATGTGTTTCTTTTGGTCTGCAAAAATGGTTGAAGACGAGTTTAATTGATTATGTAAAAATAGTCGAGGATGTGTTAAACTGATTCTGCAAAAATGATCGATGACGGGTTAAACTAATTCTGCAGGCGAGTTGAACCAATTCTGCAAAAATGGTCGACCACGAGTTAAACTGATTATGTAAAAATGATTGATGACGGGTTGAATGATTATGCAAAAATTATCGATGACGGGTTGAATGATTATGCAAAAATGGTCAAGGATGGGTTGAACTGATTCTACAAAATGGTCGAGGACAGATTGAACTAATTCTACAAAAATAGTTAAGGACGGGTTGAACTGATTATGCAAAAATGATCGAGAACGGGTTGAGTTGATTCACAAAAAATAGTCAATGATAAGTTGAACTGATTCTGCATATAGTTTCAGAACTGATTCTATAGAAATAGTCGATGATGGGTTAAGTTTATGATATATATTAATTTTGTTGAAGTTGTGAGGGTTGAGTTCTATTAACAGCCCTAAAGATTTAGGGGTATAGTTGGTATTCTAAAACATTGTTTTCATGTTTTTGGGTTGGGCTTTAATTGTTTTTATATTTTTGTTTCTTCTTGACATGTTTAAAAACTAGTGGAGTTACTTGAAATATAATAAAAGTTTTTGTCTCTATATATAAAGCTCTTTTTTTCTTTTCTTTTTTTCCTTTCTTTACATGTTCTCTCTCCAATTCCTTGTATAAATAATAGGAAAGAGATCATTTCTATATCTTTCCTCCCAAAACCCAAGGATCAAGTGATACGGGCCTTTAAAATTTGATCAAATGGTAAAAAATTATTATAGCTTTAAAAAGTTTTTACTAACTTCTCTGTTTTTAGTCGTTGGATCAAATTGTAAAGGCCCGTATCACTTGATCCCTGAGCTTTGGAGGAAAGGATCCGGACAGGATCTATTTCCTAAATAATATATCAGTTTAGCCTATCAAATTTTTTTTTTCTTTACATGTTTTGTCTTTCCAAATTTGCTCCCCTCCTCTCTCACTTTTTTCTTTGTCTTTCCTTTTCTATAAAGAAATAAGTGCAAGTTGTTGACGTATGATATTTAAATAGAAGGAGAAGAAAGAGAATAGAATCATACCCCTTTTCTTTATGGACATGGATCCGCTCCGGATCTTCTTTGTGGGGATTTGGGGGAGCAATCAATCGAGTCCGTTCATTGTACATCGTAAGGTCAGTTTTCGTTAAATACTATTTATATTCAATTTTAAAATTTAAATGATTTCTAACCATACAATGTACAATGAACGAATACGATTGATTGATCTCCTGGATCCCCACAAAGAGGATCCTGAGAAGATCCTATTCCTTTCTTTATTACTCCAGCCCAAAGACAAAGTCTTTTTTTAAAACAAAAATTAATGAAAGTGATTTGAAAACTTTGAGTTTTAACGATAAGAACAAAATAAAGGGTAAAGTGAATAGTATAATGATTGATTTTTTAGTGTAAAAATATAATTTTTCGTTAAAATAAACAGTACTGAAATTTTTTTGTTAAAGTTCTCTTTTTTAAATTGATCCCTATCAGCCCACTGTTTGTCTGGTCCACGAATAAAGTTTTAGTGGGGTTTTTTTTGTTTGCTTTCTAGTCCCTCCAAGGAGCAGCATCAAACTAATCTAAATTATATAAAGAGAGATTCGTATTTTGGGTGCGTAGTTGGAAGCTCATATGTTCTAATTAGTGCGACTACGCTCGCATATGATATATGCTACATTCATAATTGTTATCTTTTAAACTAGTATTGTTTTTTTGATTTAATAAGACATTCTATATTATTTTAATGTGTAGGAAGGGATAGTTCAAACTAAATTTGAAGATGTGGACACACTGCACTAACTAGTTAGTTTAACCCACGTCTATATTTTTTTTGAAGTCCACTATGGAAGAATTAAGTGTTGCCATTTAAAAATCTGAGATGCTCTTGAAAGTTGTCCATCAATTGTTCGACGAATTGCCTCTATGGCATTGGACAGGGTAATTGCTAGCCTCATATGCCGTGTATGCGTTGCTATGACATCTTTTGATATACTCACTTAGCATATGTTGACATTTGTGGACTTGCTCACTCAAAAGTTATTAACATCAGTTGACATGCTCACTCTATGTTGGCATATGTCGACAGACGTGCAATATAACTTGACAAATGGTTTCAAGTCTACCAAGACTCGATGAAATATCAATTTGCATACTATTCCATCCAAAAAAATATTTGCACGCTGCTTGCACAATTTTTATTGATCCTTCAATAATTTTTTTCTGAATCAGCCACTTAGTGGGTTTATGTGCATTGCACGGTGGTGCGCAACTTGGATGGAAGCAAAAATTTGGGACCACAGGAAAGTTCAAGAAAGAGATGCCCTTTTATTAGCCTCACTTAATTCATTAAATTAGCTTCCGCATTACAGGAGCTCATGGATTTGAACTTTATTCACATAGCTGTAATTATATTTTAAAGTTGTTCCGGCAAGAATTCTATTATCTTTTGAAGTATATTATATTTTAAAAATTTTAATCGTTAAATTCTAAGCATTGTACTATTAATCAAGAATCTAATGAGCAAATATCTTAAAATATAACGTAATCGGATACATAGAAAGAATTTTCATTTGGACATGTAATTAAAACCTGACTTTTGGTATAGTTTGGGATTGCTACTAATGGTGAATATGTGCCATTCTCCTTGTTTTTACGTCATGTGACAAAACTTGCCCATTGACATTAACAGCAGCCAAGTGCTCCTCTTTACACTCTAATTGGTGTAATTAGGGATCCCAGCATTTACCTTTTAAGTAGAAAGTGAAAAATGATTGAATTGACTTAGATCCCAACTCCACAAACAACACCACTCACCACTATCAGACTTTTACTTTTTTTTTTTTATTTATTTAATCTTTTTGCGGTGTTTATTTGACTTAATTAACGTCTAGGATCGATCTGCTAAGAGTATATGGATATGGTTTGCCTTAAAAAAAAACTGGTTTGTAAGAGGAAGGTGCCCAAAACCTTTAAAACAACACTAGTATCTATTATTTTCCGATATGAGGACAATTGAGTTATAACATTACACAGCACTTCTGTACTCAATAACTCTTAAACGGATTGGTTGATCATTTAAAAATTGGCTTGTAAAGAACGAGTGTACAAATACTCTTAAACTCTACTATAACGTCCTAAAAATATCCATAAAAGGGGGAAAATGCTATATATACCTTTTCGTGGACGTATCATTAAAACTAGTGCCGAGTCAGTTGGACATATAAATCACAATATGGTCAATAAATATGTTATAAATACGCTTCAATTATAGCAATAGTTGCTAAATTATGGTTTTGAAAAATTTTCGTTCATGAATTTAAATATTAGTTTTTATAGTCCCCAAATAAAACCTTGCTTTGTCCTCCGTCGAACTTTTTCTACCAAACGTAGGGGTACAAATGAAGAATCAAACGTCCACGAGGCAAAAGGAATACAAGTTTATATAAAAAATGAAATGTCCTTTTAATAATGATTAATATCAAATCCTAGATGCCTTAAATTTTTCCTAATTAAGTTCAGCGGTGTACAATTCATTTAGCAAAATGTGGTTCAATATCTTAATGAATTAGGTGTCGAGTTCTACTCATGCGTTCCGAATTTGAAACTTCTTATCTGTCACATCTTGGCCCGGGCCCCCACCATATCCCGGGCTCGACTCCACCGTAGCACGATATTGTCTGCTTTGGATTCCGATTACACCCTCACGGTTTTGTTTCTGGGAATGTTATATTGATAAGAATTCTAAGACATGATTTGATAATTATTCTAGACGCCGATCGTTCGTGGCGGCTATCATGCCTCGATTAAGGTCAGAGTGTGTCTTTATCTCTTAAATTATTACAATAATTTCAAACTTTCTCTATTCTGCTTAATAATAATAATAATAATAATAATAATAATAAAAAAAGTAATAAAAAAAATGGTCCAATCAAAGAGGCGAACGAATCCGATGCTTGAAGTTGATCGCGCGACTTTTGCCATTCGCCCTACACTATATAAACCCCTTCCCACCAACACCAAATATCCATGCCAAACGCAGTCGATTTGAAGAAAATAGTTAAGCTTAACTATTTAAATTAAGCTTATTATTGTGTTTTATCGTCATCTCTCAGAGACAAAGAGAAGAAGAAGAAGAAGAAGAAATGGGAGGTAACACGTCACACTTTGAAGACTCGGATGAATCGGATGAATTTCCACGTGAACACAAGTCTCGCATCGTGGCCTTCCATTCCGAGGACCAATGGAACACCCACTTTGCTGCCGTCAAAGACAGCAATAAACTGGTAATTAATTATGTTTAAGCCCTTAAGAAGTTTGTAGGCTATGTAATTCAATTGTTTAAGGACATCCATTTTTACGTTGAAAGTCTGGAGTTCAAATTCTCCATTGTCGGTACTATCGTTTGTATAAAAGGAAAGCCATGGAGCCAACTGATTAATATATGATATATCAACTCTATTATACTCTACTCTGTTTATTTTAATGAAGTTGCTTAACTGATTAATATTTTGTTTGGATGGTGATGAACAGATGGTGATTGATTTCACGGCTAAATGGTGTGGACCTTGTAGAGCCATGGTGCCAATCTTCAGAGAGTATGCTGATAAATTCACCGATGTTGAGTTCGTCAAGATTGATGTCGACGAGCTATCGGTATATACATGCATGAATACTACTCATATTTTTCTTTAAATTAATGTATATATTCCAATGAAAGATGTTATTTACACCTCAAAAAAGTTATGATGCGCTGATTTCTTGTAAAAAATATAAAAATGGAACTCACAAGCTGGAAAATGTAATGACTTTTTTAAAGTATCAATAACATCTTCTTGAAATATGGATTTGATCCATAACTGAACATGACGTATATATATATCAGAGATGTTGTCTTAATTACCAAGTGACCAAGGAATACATCGTCACTCACCTTTGAATTTGATACCAAAAATGGAGAATAAAAGAACTTTTTTTTTTATTTATTTTTATCAACCCGTGATTTTAAATATAAATATGAGTGACCATAAATTCTCGATCACAGATGACAAAAAATGAGATTATTAAAATATATATTATATATATGGTGTATAATTGATAAATGTTTATGGATGGATGCAGGATGTGGCAATGGAGTTTAGTGTGCAGGCAATGCCTTCATTTGTATTCGTGAAGAAAGGGGAGGTGGTTGATAAGGTCGTGGGGGCCATGAAAGATGAACTGCAGAAGAAGATTGAGAAACACAGGAGATCATAATTAAGTTTCCAGAAGAAGATTGAGGAACACAAGAGATCATAATTAAGTTTTAATTAGTAATCAATGAATTAATTAACTGATGCTGTGGTTTCTTCGATAGTACTTATGTACTCACTTATGAGTACCATATATACTTATTTTTTGGTTTGGCCTAATCAAACACGTGTTTCTTGTTTTTTAAAGGTTATTATGACACTATTTTTTAAAACAATAAAACATGTATTAAAATAACATTGGGCCAAATCTAAAAAGTACATATATAAAGTATTTACTAGTGAGTACCTAAGTATTATCTAATTAAAGCTCGATCAATAATATATTATAATGACAACGTGATACCAACATGTGAGAGTGGAAAAAATAAAGCGAAAAGGAAAGAATATAGGAAAGCTGAATAAGGTGTAGAGTGAATAAGATTGATCATGTATTCTCTAATTTTCGTGATTGTCTATGATGTTAGTATTTCTCAAGTGTTATTTGACTCTTTTTGATAAATTGTAAGCTATGGATCAATAAATTTAGAGTAGTGTTATTCACACAATTAATTTTACTTTTCACATACTCCTCTTAATTTTTGGTCATCGGATTGAAAGAATTGAAGAAGATCAATAACCAAAACTAACAAAGATGTGTGGAAGGTAAAAATGTGTGTAAATATAATTATCCTAAATTTAATGGATCACTTTGTATTGCTTTCTTTTGACTAATTGGCTTCGTAAAATTCTTTAAAAAAAACATCGTAAACCTATTTTGTGGAATATTGCTACACTATAACGAAATATTCTTCCTAAATTTTAAAAAGTTCTGTGTAAAATGGCAACATTTCACTATTTCGCAAACAAGTTAACAATAAAATGTGTTGAGTTTTGGCGAGATCTTTTGTGTATACATTAAGGACAATGTTATAATACATTTGGAAATATCGTCATCAATTGAATGACGTGAGTATTTCCAACGGTCCTTTTGTCTAGGTGGTTGGATTTCCAACTGTAAAAAGTTTGCAAATTTTCTACAGCTACCACATGGCAAGATTTGGGGCATCCAATGGTAATAGTTTTGAAAATTAATTAGAAGGCAAATTGGTCTTTATTTAAGGCTTGGGTGTTATTTATGACCCGATCACGGGAAATGAGATGAGTGTGCAACACATGTGGAATAAGATTCACGTACAATTTGTTGAGCAAATTCAAGGCACATCCTGGAGTGAGCAATCTATATTGAGTACGTACAGACATTTGTGTAAAGATTTGAAAGCTTGGCATGAAGCCATTGCTAAAGCAGAAGGAATTTATCGAAGTGGCGATAATCTAGCCAACCAAGTAATAACATTTTATTGTTAAGTCATGTTAAAACATAATTTAGGTAATTAAAAGTAGTAATTTGATTATGTTGTTTTAGATTTCATTTTTCAGCAACTACAAACATAAATATGATTCCATGCTGCCAACCATAAATCGTTCACAAGGCACGAATGTTGGAACATTGTAAAGCATACTTTGAAGTACAAAGTTCTACCAAGCGGTCCAGAAGTTGTGTTGAAGAGACTCCCCTGCAAAAATCAACTATTGAAGAGTCGCCATTGGAGACCCTAATTGAATCGGTCACACTAACTAAAGAAACCTCGAGGCTTATTGGTAAGAAGGTCACTAAGAAAAAAGCTGCAAGAGGGAGTTCTTTGAATAATAATTACTCAAAATTAGTTAACGAATTGGCTCGCCAACATGCATTGAATATGGAGCGAGACAAGTTAACATATGAACACAACAAGACAAGGAAGAATTAAGTGTTGCCTTTTGAAAATCTGAAATGCTCTTGAAAGTTGTCCATCGATTGTTCGACAAATTGCCTCTATTGCATTGGACAGGGTAACTGCTAGCCTTACATGCCGTGTATGCGTTGCTATGGCATCTTTTGATAGACTCACTTAGCATATGTTGACATTTGTGGACTTGCTCACTCAAAAGCTATTGACAACAGTTGACATGCTCACTCTATGTTGACATATGTCGACAGACGTGCAATATGACTTGACAAATGATTTCAAGTCTACCAAGACTCGATGAAATATCAATTTGTATATTATTCCATCCAAAAAATATTTGCACGCTGCTTGCACAATTTTTATTGATCCTTCAATAATTTTTTTCTGAATCAGCCACTTAGTGGGTTTATGTGCATTGCACGGTGGTGCGCAACTTGGATGGAAGCAAAAATTTGGGACCACAGGAAAGTTCAAGAAAGAGATGCCCTTTTATTAGCCTCACTTAATTCATTAAATTAGCTTCCGCATTACAGGAGCTCATGGATTTGAACTTTATTCACATAGCTGTAATTATATTTTAAAGTTGTTCCGGCAAGAATTCTATTATCTTTTGAAGTATATTATATTTTAAAAATTTTAATCGTTAAATTCTAAGCATTGTACTATTAATCAAGAATCTAATGAGCAAATATCTTAAAATATAACGTAATCCGATACATAGAAAGAATTTTCATTTGGACATGTAATTAAAACCTGACTTTTGGTATAGTTTGGGATTGCTACTAATGGTGAATATATGCCATTCTCCTTGTTTTTACGTCATGTGACAAAACTTGCCCATTGACATTAACAGCAGCCAAGTGCTCCTCTTTACACTCTAATTGGTGTAATTAGGGATCCCAGCATTTACCTTTTAAGTAGAAAGTGAAAAATGATTGAATTGACTTAGATCCCAACTCCACAAACAACACCACTCACCACTATCAGACTTTTACTTTTTTTTTTTATTTATTTAATCTTTTTGCGGTGTTTATTTGACTTAATTAACGTCTAGGATCGATCTGCTAAGAGTATATGGATATGGTTTGCCTTAAAAAAAAACTGGTTTGTAAGAGGAAGGTGCCCAAAACCTTTAAAACAACACTAGTATCTATTATTTTCCGATATGAGGACAATTGAGTTATAACATTACACAGCACTTCTGTACTCAATAACTCTTAAACGGATTGGTTGATCATTTAAAAATTGGCTTGTAAAGAACGAGTGTACAAATACTCTTAAACTCTACTATAACGTCCTAAAAATATCCATAAAAGGGGGAAAATGCTATATATACCTTTTCGTGGACGTATCATTAAAACTAGTGCCGAGTCAGTTGGACATATAAATCACAATATGGTCAATAAATATGTTATAAATACGCTTCAATTATAGCAATAGTTGCTAAATTATGGTTTTGAAAAATTTTCGTTCATGAATTTAAATATTAGTTTTTATAGTCCCCAAATAAAACCTTGCTTTGTCCTCCGTCGAACTTTTTCTACCAAACGTAGGGGTACAAATGAAGAATCAAACGTCCACGAGGCAAAAGGAATACAAGTTTATATAAAAAATGAAATGTCCTTTTAATAATGATTAATATCAAATCCTAGATGCCTTAAATTTTTCCTAATTAAGTTCAGCGGTGTACAATTCATTTAGCAAAATGTGGTTCAATATCTTAATGAATTAGGTGTCGAGTTCTACTCATGCGTTCCGAATTTGAAACTTCTTATCTGTCACATCTTGGCCCGGGCCCCCACCATATCCCGGGCTCGACTCCACCGTAGCACGATATTGTCTGCTTTGGATTCCGATCACGCCCTCATGGTTTTGTTTCTGGGAATGTTATATTGATAAGAATTCTAAGACATGATTTGATAATTATTCTAGACGCCGATCGTTCGTGGCGGCTATCATGCCTCGATTAAGGTCAGAGTGTGTCTTTATCTCTTAAATTATTACAATAATTTCAAACTTTCTCTATTCTGCTTAATAATAATAATAATAATAATAATAATAATAAAAGTAATAAAAAAAATGGTCCAATCAAAGAGGCGAACGAATCCGATGCTTGAAGTTGATCGCGCGACTTTTGCCATTCGCCCTACACTATATAAACCCCTTCCCACCAACACCAAATATCCATGCCAAACGCAGTCGATTTGAAGAAAATAGTTAAGCTTAACTATTTAAATTAAGCTTATTATTGTGTTTTATCGTCATCTCTCAGAGACAAAGAGAAGAAGAAGAAGAAGAAGAAATGGGAGGTAACACGTCACACTTTGAAGACTCGGATGAATCGGATGAATTTCCACGTGAACACAAGTCTCGCATCGTGGCCTTCCATTCCGAGGACCAATGGAACACCCACTTTGCTGCCGTCAAAGACAGCAATAAACTGGTAATTAATTATGTTTAAGCCCTTAAGAAGTTTGTAGGCTATGTAATTCAATTGTTTAAGGACATCCATTTTTACGTTGAAAGTCTGGAGTTCAAATTCTCCATTGTCGGTACTATCGTTTGTATAAAAGGAAAGCCATGGAGCCAACTGATTAATATATGATATATCAACTCTATTATACTCTACTCTGTTTATTTTAATGAAGTTGCTTAACTGATTAATATTTTGTTTGGATGGTGATGAACAGATGGTGATTGATTTCACGGCTAAATGGTGTGGACCTTGTAGAGCCATGGTGCCAATCTTCAGAGAGTATGCTGATAAATTCACCGATGTTGAGTTCGTCAAGATTGATGTCGACGAGCTATCGGTATATATATGCATGAATACTACTCATATTTTTCTTTAACTTAATGTATATGTTCCAATGAAAGATGTTTTCCAATGAAAGATGTTATTTACACCTCAAAAAAGTTATGATGCACTGATTTCTTGTAAAAAATATAAAAATGGAACTCACAAGCCGGAAAATGTAATGACTTTTTTAAAGTATCAATAACATCTTCTTGAAATATGGATTTGATCCATAACTGAATATGACGTATATATATATATCAGAGATGTTGTCTTAATTACCAAGTGACCAAGGAATACATTGCCACTTACCTTTGAATTTGATACCAAAAATGGAGAATAAAAGAACTTTTTTTTTTTTTTTTTTTTTATCAACCCGTGATTTTAAATATAAATATGAGTGACCATAAATTCTCGATCACAGATGACAAAAAATGAGATTATTAAAATATATATTATATATATGGTTTATAATTGATAAATGTTTATGGATGGATGCAGGATGTGGCAATGGAGTTTAGTGTGCAGGCAATGCCTTCATTTGTATTCGTGAAGAAAGGGGAGGTGGTTGATAAGGTCGTGGGGGCCATGAAAGATGAACTGCAGAAGAAGATTGAGAAACACAGGAGATCATAATTAAGTTTCCAGAAGAAGATTGAGGAACACAAGAGATCATAATTAAGTTTTAATTAGTAATCAATGAATTAATTAACTGATGCTGTGGTTTCTTGGATAGTACTTATGTACTCACTTATGAGTACCATATATACTTATTTTTTGGTTTGGCCTAATCAAACACGTGTTTCTTGTTTTTTAAAAGTTATTATGACACTATTTTTTAAAACAATAAAACATGTATTAAAATAACATTGGGCCAAATCTAAAAAGTAAATATATAAAGTATTTACTAGTGAGTACCTAAGTATTATCTAATTAAAGCTCGATCAATAATATATTATAATGACAACGTGATACCAACATGTGAGAGTGAAAAAAATAAAGCGAAAAGGAAAGAATATAGGAAAGCTGAATAAGGTGTAGAGTGAATAAGATTGATCATGTATTCTCTAATTTTCATGATTGTCTATGATGTTAGTATTTCTCAATTGTTATTTGACTCTTTTTGATAAATTGTAAGCTATGTATCAATAAATTTAGAGTAGTGTTATTCACACAATTAATTTTACTTTTCACATACTCCTCTTAATTTTTGGTCATCGGATTGAAAGAATTGAAGAAGATCAATGACCAAAACTAACAAAGATGTGTGGAAGGTAAAAATGTGTGTGTAAATATAATTATCCTAAATTTAATGGAGCACTTTGTATTGCTTTCTTTTAAAAAACATCGTAAACCTATTTTGTGGAATATTGCTACACTATAACGAAATATTCTTCATAAATTTTAAAAAGTTCTGTGTAAAATGGCAACATTTCACTATTTCGCAAACAAGTTAACAATAAAATGTGTTGAGTTTTGGCGAGATCTTTTGTGTATACATTAAGGACAATGTTATAATACATTTGGAAATATCGTCATCAATTGAATGACGTGAGTATTTCCAACGGTCCTTTTGTCTAGGTGGTTGGATTTCCAACTGTAAAAAGTTTGCAAATTTTCTACAGCTACCACATGGCAAGATTTGGGGCATCCAATGGTAATAGTTTTGAAAATTAATTAGAAGGCAAATTGGTCTTTATTTAAGGCTTGGGTGTTATTTATGACCTGATCACGGGAAATGAGATGAGTGTGCAACACATGTGGAATAAGATTCATGTACAATTTGTCGAGCAAATTCAAGGCACATCCTGGAGTGAGCAATCTATATTGAGTACGTACAGACATTTGCGTAAAGATTTGAAAGCTTGGCATGAAGCCATTGCTAAAGCAGAAGGAATTTATCGAAGTGGCGATAATCTAGCCAACCAAGTAATAACATTTTATTGTTAAGTCATGTTAAAACATAATTTAGGTAATTAAAAGTAGTAATTTGATTATGTAATTTATTATGTTGTTTTAGATTTCATTTTTCAGCAACTACAAACATAAATGTGATTCCATGTTGCCAACCAGAAATCGTTCACAAGGCACGAATGTTGGAACATTGTAAAGCATACTTCGAAGTACAAAGTTCTACCAAGCGGTCCAGAAGTTGTGTTGAAGAGACTCCCCTGCAAAAATCAACTATTGAAGAGTCGCCATTGGAGACCCTAATTGAATCGGTCGCACTAACTAAAGAAACCTCGAGGCTTATTGGTAAGAAGGTCACTAAGAAAAAAGCTGCAAGAGGGAGTTCTTTGAATAATAATTACTCAAAATTAGTTAATGAATTGGCTCGCCAACATGCATTGAATATGTAGCGAGACAAGTTAACATATGAACACAACAAGACAAGGCTAGAGATGAAATAAGGGCGAGAGAACGAGAGTTAAATTGGCAAAAACAGTAAGAGAAGAAGTATTAGGAGATTAGTCCCGACGCCTCGACGAGGAGTCCCCTAATTCAAAACATTTTTGGAAAAGTGAAAAATAACTTGTCATGAGTAGAAGGTTTTCTATGGAAGGTGAGGAAATTCCATACATTCCAAGGGAAGACGAACTGAGTCATACTAATTTTATTCCCTAAGTTAAAATTAATTATGTTTGTTTAATGTTATAGTTTTCCCTTGTATTTGAAATAATTTACTAGAGTTAGACTTTATTTGTGAAATAATGACACGTGGAGTATAAGACCAAAAAAACATAAAGAGAAAATAAAAAATTATATATGTGAATAGTAATCGTATTTGCCTTTGCCCTCCCTTTTCCCAAACGGGTGGACTTGCGCAAATGCAATGACTATTTAAAGTAATAGTAAACACAATCTCATTGCCCTTTCCCTTGTCTTGCCCTTGCTCCTAAAACTGGTGAACGTGCTCTTATGTGCATTGCATGGGTGGTGCGCAACTTGATGGAAGCCAAAATTTGGGACCACCGTAAAGGTCAAAATAGAGATACCCTTTTGTTAACCTCAATTACTTAATTAAATTGAGGAAATTGTAGCAATGATCCCTCAACTTTAACTCAATTGGAGTAATGGTCCATCAAATAAAAACTATTGGTCCCTTAACTCATCAAAACGTCTAACTACAGTCTTTTTCGTCAACTTCGTTAGAATTCTGTCAAAAGTCGCATGCCACGCACGTGAGGCTGAATCAATGGGAAAATATGAAAAATCAAATGAGAAAAATTGTGGCAATGGTCCCTCAACTTTAATCTAATTGGAGAAATGTTCTCTCAATTTAACTAAATTCAGTAAAGGTCTTTCTACACTAACTCAATTTTAACCCAATTGGAGTAATGACCTTTCACACTAATTCAACTGTAGCAATGGTCATTCCTGGCGCACATGACTTATTTTAACAAAATTCTAACGGAGTTGAAGAAAAGAACCATAGCTACGTGTTTTGATAAATTAAGGGACCATTGCTTTAGTTGAGTTAAAATTGAAGGATAATTGCTACAATTTTCTCAATTAAATTAGATTCCACAGTACACAGGGCTCATGAATTTGGATTTTATTCACAGAACTGTAAATTATGTGTAAATGTTATGTTCTGAAGTTGTTTTAGCAAAAACTATGTTATGTTATGAAATATATTATATTTGGCTTTTTAGCCAAAATGGTCCCGAAGATTTGCCTAACTCCTTACCTTGGTCCCTGAGATTTGAAATCAATAGAAGTCGTCCCTGAGATTGTCCACCATCAATCATTTTGGTCCCTCGGTGAAAAATTATGTTAAATAAGGATCAAAATGACAAAATTACTCTCAATATAATAAACAATATACCAAGATGATTTAACAAAAATTGAGGGTATTTTTATCATTTTATCCTTATTTTATGGAGATTTTTCACGGAATGATCAAAATAATTGATTGTGAACAAACTTAGGGACCAATTCTATCGATTTCAAATCTTAGGGAGCAAAGCGAGGAGTTATGCAAATCTCAGAGACCATTTTAACTAAAAAACCATTATATTTTAAACACTTTGACGGTTAGATTCAGATTATTGTATCATTGATCAAGAGTTTAATGATAAAATATCTTAAAATATATTGAACTCCGAAACATAAAAAAAAAAAAAAAAAAAAAAAAAAAAATCCGTTTGGTCATGTGATTATGCTGACTTTTAGTTTATTTTGGATGCTACTAATGGTGAACATATGCCATTCTCTTTTTTTACGTCATGTGACAAAACTTGCCGCTGACATTAACAGCAGCCAACCCTCTTTACACTCTGATTGATGTAATTAGGCATCCCAGCGTTTACCTTTAATTAGAAAATGAAAAATGAGTGAATTGACTTGGATCCTAATTCCAGAAACACCACCACTCACTGTCTCTCGGACTTCTACTTTTTTTCTATTTCATCTTTTTGCGGTGTTCATTTGAACGTCTCTGCTAAGAGCATATGGATAGAATTTGTCCTTAAAAACCGGCTTGTAAGAGAAAGGTGCCCAAAAGCTTCTAAACAACACTAGCACATACTATTTTTCGATATGGAGACAATTGAGTCCTAACATTTGATTACACTGCGCTTCCGTACGCAACAACTCTTAAATCAAAAAATTGACCATTGTAAGAATCGACTTGTAAGAAAAGGGTGTGCAAAAACTCTTAAACTACTATAATTAATGTCCTAAAAATATCCAATAAAGTGAAGAAAAAAATGTTTGATGTACTTCTTCATAGACGTATCATTAGAACCAGTGTCATCTCAGTTGGAGATATAATTACAATTTGATCAATAAATATGTTGTAAACACACTTTAATTATAGCAATACCCGTTGAATTATGATTTTGAAAACATTTCGTCCATGAATTCGAATATTAGATTTTGTAATCTCCAGATTAAATCTTGCTTTGACCTTTATTAGTTTTTTTTTCGCCGTCAATTTTTTCTACCAAACTTAAGAGTACGAATGAAGAATCAAACGTACACTATGCGAAAGGAATATGAGTTTATATTAAAAGAAAATGTCCTTTCTATAATGATTAATATCAATCCTAAGGTGCCTTGAATCTTTTCCAAATTAAGTTCAGCGGTGTACAATCTAGAGCGTAGCATGGTCCTATCAAAGAGGACGAATCCGATTCTTAATGTTCATCGCGCAACTTTTGCCCATTGTCCTAAACCACTATATAAACGCCTTCCCACCACACCAAATATCAAGCCAAACGCAGTCGATTAAAAGAAATTAATTAAGCTTATTATTTTGCTTCATCATCCTCTTAGAGACAAAGAGAAGAAGAAGAGCAAATGGGAGGCAACATGTCACACATTCAAGACTCGGATGAATCTTCACATGGACACAAGTCTCGCATCGTGGCCTTCCATTCCAAGCATCAATGGAACACCCACTTCGCTGCCTCCATAAACAGCGATAAACTGGTAATTAATTATATTTAAGCTCCCTAAGGAATTTGCAGGCTTTTTAGTTCAATTGCTTAAGGACATCCATGAAAGTCTCGAGTTCGAATTCTCCTTCCTGCACTCTTGTTTATATAAAAGGAAAGCCATAATTAAGCTCTATATATGATATACAACTCTACCATACTCTATTTATTTTAATGAAGTTGCTTAATTGATTACTAATTTAGTTTTGATGGAGATGAACAGATGGTGATTGATTTCACGGCTACATGGTGTGGACCTTGTAGAGCAATGGAGCCAATCTTCAGAGAGTACGCTGATAAATTCACAGACGTTGAGTTCGTCAAGCTTGATGTCGACGAGCTACCGGTATATATATTTATGCATGAATACTTCTCCTCATATTTTTCTTAAATTTTACATATATATTACCAAGAAAATTGTTAGTTACACTTCAAAAAAGTTATTATACATTGATTCCTCGCAAAAATATAAAATGGAATTCATAAGCAGGGAAATGTAATGACTTTTGTGAAGTATTAATAACGTCTTGTTGAAAAATGGATTTGATTCGTGATTGAACGTGACATACAAATATCATAAATGTTATCTTAGTTGCCAAGTAATTAAGAAATACATGGTCACTCACCTTTGAAAATAATATCATTAATGATGGAAAAAAAAAAAAAAATTTGTCAAGTTGTGATCTTAAATTTAACTATGAGTGGATGGATGCAGGATGTGGCAATGGAGTTTGGTGTGCAGGTAATGCCTTCATTTGTATATGTGAAGAAAGGGGAGGTGGTTGATAGGATCTTGGGGACCAGGAAAGATGAACTGCAAACGAAGATTGAGAAACACAGGACATCATAATTAAGTATGGATTAATTAACTGATGCTTTGAATAAATTATTAAAGCTCGATTGGGAATATATAATGACGATGACGTGCTACCACTGTGTGAGAGCTGAAGAAATAAAGGGAAAAAGAAAGAATATAGGAAAGATAAATAAGGTGTAGAGTAGGATTCTCTCCTTTTAAATTCTCCTCCCCTCAGTCTTTTACTATTGGAATCGTCACAATTAAGCCATATTGAAGAGGAAAGTAGAGAGAAGAGGAAGGGAGGAAAAGGAATTTGGGCGAAAGATAATCCTACTCTATAAGATTGATCATGTATTCTTTAATTTTCATGATTGTCTATGACGTTTGTATTTCTCACGTGTTTTTTTTAGTAAATTGTGAGCTATGTATCAATAAAATTTATCACTTAATTTGTGAGCCTTGTATTGCTTTCTTTAGATTAATTGGCTTTGTATAAAAAAAAAATTAAAAAAAATAAAATAAAATAAAAACTTCATAAACGTATTTGGGGAATTTCGCTGCACTATAATGAAATATTCTGCATGATTTTTAGGAAATTGTGCAGCAGCGAAAATTCCACTAGAATTTTGCAAACCAGTTAACAATCGTGAATAAAATTCGTTGAATTTTCGCAAGATGTTTTGTGTATATATTAAGGACAATGTTATAATACATTTGGAAATATTGTCATCAATTGAGTGACATAAGTATTTCCTTTTCAAGTAAAAAAAATTTAAAGATGAATAGAAAATTCCAACTGGGCATACAATTTAGCAATAACGTAGTTCCGTCTATTTGAACATCTCTAGTACATCTATAATACGAATTTTAAGAAGTTTGTGGTGTGGCAAAATTTCCTCGAAAATATAACTTATGACATTTCTTTAATTTTGGAAAACCGATTAAACATTTTGAGTAAAATTCCATTTTAAAAGTGCAATTTTGAGTTTTTGCAAGATCTTTAACATGAGCATCAAAGAAAAAAAAAGTGTAAGAAAAAAGTGCTAAGATCTTTAACAGTTATACAGGAGATACGCAATAAGTATATCACACGCATGCATGGGCATGGCCATTCTTGGTGCAAACAGAAGTAATCTTCTACTTCCAGTACTTATATGAACTCTACTAACGAAATAGGTTTGTAGCTTTTGCGAGATTCGACTGGTATGGAAGCAGGGACTGCTACCTTGTTTTATAGCTAGGGTTTTCATCAAATCCAGCCTATTATCGGACAGAATTTCAGCCCATACTCTACTAAATCAATTAAAGTCCCATCATGATTCTATATCTTTGTGTTTAGCTAATAAGGGTCCTAATAGATTGCTTATGGTTAAGACTCCAATATATCTACTACATTTAGGGCACCGAGAGTCCTTGAACGTCTAATGACTTGTAAACCAAGTCCTCTAGCCTACCAATTTTTGGATTCCAACGTTCAAGGTATCACCTCCACCCAGCACTCTCCTCAGACCATCCTTCTGTTCTGCACTGAGCTTCGCTGGAAAGACCACGTCGAACTTGATCCTAAGGTTTCCCTTTCTTGACCGGATCTTTAGAGATGGGCATTACGCCATTACCTCATTAGCAACCACCTCCTCATGGCCAGGTTTGATTATGTCTCTCACCGGGATCATGAGAACCCTTCTTCCAGCCAGGCTTGATGTCTATCTCTAGTATTTCCTCAATAGTCTTTGGCTTACTGCAACAGAGACGTTATTTCAACATTATAATGCCAAAAAAAAAAAAAAAAACAACTACTAGGGTGGGGCAAAAATCTTCTGGAAAAGAAAATGCGTTTTAGAAGGGAGGAACGTATTGTTACATCCAACTAGTATAACTTGCGTGTGATCAAACTAAAATGACATGGGCCAACATATTGACCTAACCAACTGAGATAATCCACGTCTACCTAATTACACACAAATTAATAACACATCATTTGGGTAATAACAAGGTAAGAAAGATCATGAAGCCTAAAAGAAATCTAATCCAAAATCCATTTTAAATGTTTCTTAATTATTCAATTTTAGATTGAATTAAAAGTCAAGATCATCCACCCAAAACGGCAATTTTATCCAATGTAACAGTAATCCCCCAGCTTATTAGATTCTGAAGTATATTATATTTAAAAGCTTTAATTGTTAAATTTTAATCACCGTATTATTGATTAAGAATCTAATGATCAAATATTTTAAAATATAACGTAATCTGAAACATAAAAGAAATTCCATTTGGTCATGTGATTAAGCTGACTTTTAGTTTTAGTTTTGGTTTTGGAAGCTGCTTAAGGTGAATATATGCAATTCTCTTTGTTTTTTTACGTCATGTGACAAAACTTGCCCGTTGACATTAACAACAGCCAACTCCTCTTTACACTCTAATTGGTGTAATCCCAGCATTTACCTTCAATTAGAACATGATAAATGGTTGAATTGACTTTTAATAAGAGATCCCAACTCCGGAAACACCACCTCTCACCGTTTGTCATTCTGACTTAATAAATGTCTTGGATTCATTTGTATGTGGTTTAATAGAGTATTGTGTTTCTAACCATAATTTCAAGTTCGAACACCCCCCCCTTCCCCCTCTCGCTAATAAAAGAAATTTTTTAAAATAAAAAAAGAAACGTCTTGGATTCATCTGCTAAGAACATATGGATAGAACTTGACCTATAAAACCGACTTGTAAGAGAAAGGTGCCCAAAATCTTTTAAACAACTCTATCATATGTTATTTTTTGATATGGGGACAATTGAGTAATAACATTACACCACTCTTCTATATGCAATAACTCTTAAACCGAACAATTTATCATTTTAAAAGTAGGCTTGTAAGGAAAGAGTGTGCAGAAACTCCTAAAACTACTATAACGTCCTAAAAATATCCATAGAAGTGGAAAAAAATTGCTATATCTACCTCTTCGTGAACATATCATTAGAACTAATGTCGTCTTAATTGGAGATATAATTCACAATATGATCAACAAATATGTTATAAATACTTTATTTATAGTAATAGTCGTTGAATTATTATTTTGAAAACATTTCATCCATAAATTTGAATATTGGCTTATGTAGTCCTCAAATTAAATCTTACTTTGCCCTCTGGACTAGAATTCTCACATCTCTTATTTTCATAGGAAAGAGAAAAAAAATATATGAGAGAATCCTACTCCTGCCCTCTATCAATCTTTTACGCCGTCAATTTTTCTACAAAATGTAGGGGTACGAACTGCGAATGATGAATCAAACGTGCACTATGCAAGGGAATGAGTTTATATATAAAAATATATATATATCCTTTTTCTAATTATTAATATCAAATCTTAGCTGCCTTAAAATTCTTCCGAATTAAGTTCAGTGGCATAGTACAAAGAGGCGAAACGAATCCCATTCTTATATTTCATCACAGAACTTTTGCCCTTGCCCAAAACCACCATATAAACCCCTTCCCACCAACACCAAATATCCACGCCAAACGCAGTCGACTGGAAGAAAATAATTAAGCTTATTATTTAGTTTTATCATCATCTCTTAGAGACAGAGAAGAAGAAGAAAAAACGGGAGGCAACATATCTCACATTCAAGACGACGAATCTTCACATGAACACAAGTCTCGCGTCGTTGCCTTCCATTCCAAGCATCAATGGAACACCCACTTCGCTGCCTCCAAAGACAGCAATAAACTTGTAAGTAATTATAATTAAGCTTTTTAAAGAGTTTGTAGGCTTTGTAATTCAATTGTTTAAGTAATAACTGATATAACAGAAATATAGTTAGAAGGGTATTATTGTAATTTCATTTCCTAAAGTTCAATTGTATACATTTTCTCCAATCAATCAATACAATCTCTCTTGTTTCTCTCTATCATCTTCCTCTTCATCTGTACCAATTCTTCATCTTTTGTAATGTAGTTAATATAGTCTGAGAGCACCAAGGCTCACGCCATGGATCTTGGTGATCGATTCCTCTTCTCTCATTACTTTCTAACCTTCTTCATTACTTTCTTTTGTTTCCGCGTATTTGATCGTTTATGCTTCCATATTCATAGTTCTTATTTTTGGTCTCTGGATTTTTCCGCCGAGGGTTTTGTGTTTAGTTTTGGGGTTTTTCCTCTGGGTTTCAAGATGAAGCCGGTGAGACCAACACGGCACCACTACTTGACCTTCACATGGAAGACGTCGGCCCTTTCCTCTTCCTTCACCTTTGGAACAACCACCTTCAGCATGCCATTCTTCATCTCCGCCTTGATATTATCAGTCTTAAACCCCTTCTCCGGCAGTTCGATTCCGGTGTTGTACCTCTGAGCCAGGAACAGAGAGTAAACTGAAGCTGATTCATAGAACAGGTAGAGTGTCATCATGAACACGAAACAGTGGCGTTCAGGGCTTCTGCTAAATCGGCGGTGGAGAGAGGGGAGGATAGCTAAAATTCGTAGGGGTTAGGGTTTTCATGAAGACTGCATAGTTTCAGAACTTGGGGATATGAAATTCGAAAGAAATTAGGGATTTGAGAGAGATTTAGTCTATGAACAGAGAGTGTCGGTCAAAAGATTACGGTGCCAAGATCCATCTTCTTTCTACTGTGCAAATCTCAATTCGGTGGTGATTCTTTCTGTTATTCGTCTGGGAATTTCTCTTCTTCGTTGCTGATTGGAAAGTGGGATCTTGGACTCTGTCAGGTTGTTACTTGTATCTATCCTCTTCTTTATGCATATATGGTGTTTGTGGAATTGCTGCAGAAGATAAAGTGTGAGATTTTATACCTGATTAATTGTGAAGGCCATTGACATTAGTTGAAGAATGATGAAATATAGTTTCTTAATTGTTTGCCAAGATAATTTTTTGTTGATGGTTATTCAAATTATGCTATCTGTGTTCTATATCTGCCACTTTGATCCATGTTCTGTTCTCTATTATGGAGAAAATTTCTCAACTTTGTGCAGTCCACATGTTTGAAGAAATGCACAGCTCAAGTTGTTTTGTGAAGTTGGTGAAGACACATGTTTGTCAAGTTGTTTTGATGTTTTTTGGATGAATTATCTAAGATAAACTATTGTTTCATTCAGTGATTTGGTTGGATTACAAGATTTTAAGAAAGTGTCATTCTTTCTTGATGGATAGGAAAGTATCATTCTTTCTTTGATTCCATAGAATTTGTCAAGAGTATCATTCTCTTGTTGCTTTAGAATTTGTGAAGAGTGTCATTCTCTTGTTGCCTTAGCATTTGTGTCAAGAGTGTTATTCTCTTGCTGCCTAGAAGAATTTATCTGTTTTGATTTTTGGATTGTACTTGTGTTTTTCATCATGGCTTCACCAACGGCTAAAGTTGTAGTTTTGTGTGATGATAATGGAGTGAGCAGAGGTTTTGGTTTGTGTCTCAAATCTTCAAGAAGCTACAAAAGCTCTTAGTAATCTTTTGGTCAGCAGTTATGTACATTAGGAGGAAGTTCTGAGTGGGTAGACATGCCACCAGGTTTAACTAATTGGGTAGAAGAACCAATTGTAGGCATGATATGGACAACATTCTTTACATGAGCAACCTTGAGAAGTGATGCAGCATCCGAAGGAAAAGCAACACGTGCCCCAGCAGCAAAATGCAGCAGCTCTTACCATCCTATCAGCCTTCATAGGACTACGGTTTAGCTTCAACAGTAGTAAAATGGTTACTTGTAATTGTTCCAACAAGCTTACTGTTAGGTTATTCCAAAGTTGATGTAGTTAAAAGTGCTACAATGTTGGATCATCAACTTTATTCGAAATTGTTACTATCAGCATCAAAAGTGGAACTTGTATCAAAGATGTGGGACTGAACATTCAAATCACTTTATATTTTCGAGATAGCAAGGTTGTCCAAACTATCATACACTACTCCAAACTGCAAAAGACAGGGGTTTGGGGTTTTCTACAGCGTTTAGCTTCATAATAGTAATTGCAGATGTATTTACAAAAGGATTGCACAATCCATTGTTCTTGAAGCATTGCAGACATCTTAATCTTGTAGTTCCAGATCAGTCTCAAATACCTGGCTAGTTCAAACTTCACTTGGATACTCCAAGTTTAGTTTGAGGGGAGAGTAATAACTGATATAACATAAATATAGTTAGAAGGGTATTACTGTAATTGGGTATATGGCTATATAAGGGATTGTATAGCTTTCATTTCCTATAAGTTCAATTGTATACATTTTCTCCAATCAAACAATACAGTCTCTCTTGTTTCTCTCTATCATCTTCCTCTTCATCTCTACCAATTCTTCATCTTTTGCAATGTAGTTAACATTAAGGACATTCAGACCTACGTGTGAGAGTGGAAGAAATAAAGTGAAAAAAGAAAGAATATAGGAAAGATATATAAGGTGCAGGGGGTGAATAAGATTGATTATGTGTTCTTTAATTTTCATGATTATCTATAATGCTTGTAATTGAGTGTTAGTTCACTTTTTATTGATAAATTATGAGCAATGTATCAATTATCACTTTGTATTGCTTTCTTTTTTATTAATTTGCTTTGTTAAATCATCGTAAACCAATTTTGTGGAATTTCGCTGCACTATAACGAAATATTCTAGAATTTTAAGAAATTTTTGGTGCGGCGAAAATTTCACTAGAATTGCAAACCAATTAACAATCGTGATTTAATTTGTAGAGTTTTGGCAAGATCTTTTTGTGTATACATTAGGAACAACGTTATAATACATTTGGAAATATGGTCAGCAACTGAGTGACATAAGTATTCCAGCAGGGCATAAAATTTAGCCATAACGTAGTTCTATCCATCTGAACATCTGAACATCTCTAGTATATCCTGCATGAAATTTAAAAAGTTTGAAGTGTGACAAAAGTTCCACGAGAATATAATTTATGATAATTTTTTTATCTTCAGAAAACCCATTAAACATCGTAAGTAAAATTCTTTTTGAAAAACACAATTTTTGAGTTTTTGCAGGAACTTTGACATGAGCATCAAAGAAAAATATTATGATACACCATTAGAAATTAATCTCACAATTTATGGAGCCCCATTAGCATTTCTTACAATATTGGATTCCAAACATTCAAATTAGAGTTCCTAGTATGCACAATTGCACCGTGGAAAGATAAAATATTTACATGATCTTACATTGACAATTAGGGTTAAATAGATTTGGTTTTTATCCCAAGCATATGAATTCTCATAGCCTTCAGGTATCACCTCCACCCAGCACTCTCCTCAGACCATCCTTCTGTTCTGCACTGAGCTTCGCCGGAAAGACGACGTCGAACTTGACCCTAAGGTTTCCTTTCTTGGTCGGATCTTTAGAGATGGGCATTCCCTCATTAGCAACCACCTCCTCATGGCCAGGTTTGATTATGTCTCTCACCGGGATCTTGAGAACCCTTCCGTCCAACGTTGTCAGATTGACGACCGCCGCGGTGAGAGCCTCTAGTAGGGATAATTTCTGAGTGACCACAAGGTCATTCCCATCCCTCTTGAAATGAGGGTGGGGTTTCTCGTCGATGACGAAGATGAGATCAGCCGGAGAGAAGCCCGGCTCTTGGTTTCCTCTCTCTGGGAATGTGATCTTTGTACCCTTCTTCCAGCCAGGCTTGACGTCTATCTTTAGGATTTCCTCAATAGTTTTTGGCTTACTGCAACAGAGTTGTTGCTTCAACGTTATAAGGCAAAAAAGAGCTACAACAGAGGGCAAAAATCTTCTGGAATAGAAAATGCGTTTCACAAGGGCGGAACGCATTGTTCTGGCCAACTGGTATAACTCGCGTCTAACATATTGCCCTGACCAACTAACGTAATATCAACGTCTACCCAATTACACACAAATTAAGAACACATTATTTGGGTAATATCAAGTTAAGAAAGATCATGAACCTGAGAGAAACCTAATCCAAAATCCATTTCAAATGTTTCTTATTCAATTTTAGGTTGAATTAAATGTCAAGATCACCTACCTAAAAACGGCAATTTAATCCAATTTTAACCATATTAACAGTAATCCCCCAGCTTATCATGCCTTAATCAAAGTCAACTAAACAAGTCAACAGACGCAGAACTCTCAATTAACAAACCATACAAACACATCACTTCCCGAAAATCAAAATCTCAGTTAACAGAAAAAAAAAAAAAAAAAAAAAAGAAACAAACTTTGCAGCAATTCCGACATATTAAAAAAAAAAAAAAAAAAAAACCAACCAGAAAACAAACAGAAACAGAGTACTCACCCGAACCCGTCAGGAACAGTTCTCGAAATCCTCATCTTCCTCCTCGCCCCCCTGTAAAGATCCTCCAAACTGCACACCAACTTGCTCTCTGTCGCCGCAGCCTTCTTACTCTTCAAATTACCATTACGCCCTTCGCCATTCACACTGCTCTTCTTGAACACCTTGTCCCCAACGCCGCCAGATCCGCCGAAAAACTCGGCGAAAATGTCATCCGGGTCGCCGCAGTTGAGCCCCTCCTCGCCGTAGATGTCGTAGATCTGGCGCCGCTGCGGGTCGCTGAGAACATCGTACGCCTGGCACACCTGCTTGAACTTGGCCTCCGCTTCCTCGTTGTCGACCAGGTTCTTGTCGGGGTGCCACCTCATCGCCAGGCGCTTGTACGCCTTCTTCAGGTCCTCCTGGGTCGCGTTCCGGTTCACTCTCAGCACGTTGTAGAAATCCACACCCATGTGATTGCTCTGATCGAAATTATCAACGGCTCTGATTTGATAGGGGATAGTCGGAGAGAAAAGCCGGATGTGGAAAAGTGGTTATCCAGCAGACAGCAAACGCGGTTTTAAATTTGGCGTTTGGAGTTATAATTTTCAGTGTTTGGTGCGCGTTTCGTCAATGGAGCGGTGGTGGGGGTATTGGAGTGAGGGACACTGCGGGGATTTTAAATAAATCAAATCTGTAGCAGAACGTGCAGTGAGGTGGGAGCCTAGCAGACTTGAAGCATCTTTGTAGACTTTGTTTTATTTTTTATTTTTTAAGGAAATATATTTGTAGTTACAGTTGCACAGATTCTGGTAGGTCGTTGGTATTGCAAATTTTTTATAGGTGCTGAAAATATAAGTGATTTGATGTATTATTATTCGTGTTATAAGAAAATTGAATGATATAAAATGATGTATTATAGTTTTATACATTAATAAAAAAATTCTACGTGTTATACTTGAAATGGTAATATTATGCGACTTTGTCTATTGTGTTGGATGTATATTGGGAACAAGGTGATTTCAAACCACACAAAGTTCGAAAAATACACATGTGAAAGTCTTCTGAGTACCCTTCTAATGTTTGGCATGGGTGTCTTTGTGCCCACAAAATATTTGATGTAATATCTGCTCTGCACATCTCGGCAACACTTGGCATGTTGCGTTAAGAGCACTTGACAAATTCTCTCGATAGCACTTATCAGATTCCTTCGATATATCTCGATATCTGTTTCATATGTGCTCAACACAGTTCATTTGACGACAAGAAGTCCAACAAGTGTTTGATAAAATGTATGGGCAAATAAACTGAAATTGTATTACTTGCTTCGCGCTTGCTTTGTTTTAAAAACTTAAATCTTTAACACTAATACCCACAATGTTAGAATCTTAAATCCGTAAAGTCTGAATACATCCTAATGTTGGTCCACGTTGCAGAGCCAGATGAGTGATATTTGGGTGGCCGCTTTATACGTAATCTTTGCGTAACACGACATCGTTTTGGTGCTTTTTTACCCTCGTTTAAGTTGAAAATAGTGATTAATACGCCGGCCTTTCTTCTTTAAATATGTGACATTGTGAATATTAAATTGTCAGTGTATCTTGTGAAGCTGTAATTTGGCGTCCGACATGCTTCGGAGCATTCAATAATTGTAATGAGCAAGAATCGTAAAAAAGCAGCTGGCCGGCGAATTGACTTATGAAAGTAGGCAATGACATATTATTTGCTTGCTTATGGGACAAGGAGTTGTTGTCGATGCTACTTGCAACCATGAGTGTAACGAAATGATAAAGGGTAAATTAGATTTAATATTTCGAAAAGTAACATTCAGAAGGAAGGCAGAATAATCAAAACACATTGGGGGAAATTATAAACATAAAAGCTCAGCCCAATAAGCAAACAATCAAAAACTAAAATCTTAATTTTTATCTTCCATACGCAAAGAGCAGCTCCTGCCGCCGCCGCTGCCACGAACGTCTTCCCAGCAGCCACCAAGACAACAGCATTAGAGAAGACAACTGAGTGAAAAACTAAAGAACATAAGACAGAGAAATTTGACAATGGAGAAGTGGCGATGAACGCCGAGGATGGGGCATGAAGCCCAAACTGCCACCGGCACCCAAAGTACATGCTAGGGCCGATGGCTAGGGCTTTTCTGTGCTTGTATTTTCTTCTAATAATCCAGACTATTTAGTAGTATAAAGAATGGAGGGTTATAATATCATTCTTCGTAAAATATTATTTGTCATTCTACGATACAAAAAACCTTATTAAGATTGATTATTTACAAGTGATTCATCATATAGTGTATTAGATCAATATAATAGTGACAGACTATTCATATGGGTTAGATATTGGGAAAGGGATCATCTCTGGATCCCTTCACCTAATCCATCAAGTCTGGGGATCCGGACCGTTGAAATTTGATCCAATGGCTACAAATAGGGGTCCACTTTAAAAGTTATAATAACTTTAGCCGTTGAATTAAATTTTAACAGACTGAATTCCCAAACTTGATGAATTAGAATGAAGAGATCCGGATAAAATCCCTTTGCACGATATTGGTTATAAGTTTACAAGTGGAAGTTTGTTTGATGCCGCGAAAGAAGTCATCATCCACGTCCAAATCCAATGGCCCAGTGGTGATATGACGATGGCGGTAAAGCTACTTTTCTCTAACCGACGTGAAGAAAGCATGGAAAGATGAACAGTTTTCAGTTTTCAATTACGAAATGCTTTCTCTTTAAGTGATTGTCAAGTTGTCTTTAATTTTGCTTTTTCCGTGATGATAAAAGAGGAACGCCAAAGCAAAGTGTCATCTATTTAAAGGGGAATGCCAAAAGTCTAAGCATTCGCATGGAAGATAAGATAAGAACTAGGGTTTCTTTAATATAGTGCTTTATTATTTCTTTAATAATTCAGACTAGTTAGTTCGAGAAATAAACGGTTATAATTGAATTAAGTTAATATTTTTTTTTTCAACTTATCAATCTAATAGATAAAAAATCAAACTACTTATTTGTCCGCACTATTGAAGATAAACCTGTCAAAAATGAATATGAACTAAATAGGATAAAAAATGAGTTACAAAATGTTGATACGAGGGCTTAAAATTACACCATGGTTACTAAATGTTCTGTAGTGGATTCCTTCCTCACTTGACAAACATAGCCTTTAAGGTTGAAAACCTAGCTCAAATAATTTGATGCCCCGATATTGTTTGCATAAAAAATCGACTAAATATGCTGACTATAGTGAAATTTTACGAAAACTCCATAAATTTGTATAAGATCATCACTACGTAACATCTTAATTTAATAATATAATATTATATATAAATTTTATATGTGATAAGTTTACGTGACGATGAACTTATTCCATCTACCACGACATCCATTCGAGGTAATTTGCTGCCACTCACAAATGTTTCTAGCAACCACACGAAAACAAGTTTTGGCAAAAAATAAATAAAAATAAAAAAGACGATAAAACCGATTTCGATCTGCTTATGATTTGGCGGCGTTGTAAAGATTCGGCAGCGCGGCAATGGTTCTGGCAACCACACCAACCCCACGTCCTCATCATCTCCCTCTCCCCAACACCAACAATGGAGACTCCCGCACCCACCACCACGCCCATCTCCTCCGCCTGCTGAACGAATGCACGGACATGTCACAGCTCAAGCAAATCCACGCCCACACATTGCGCACCACATCGCCCACCAACCCCCACACCCTCTTCCTCCACAGCCGAATCCTGCATTTCTCCTCCCTCGCTGACATCAACTACGCGTTTCGGGTTTTCGACCAGATCGAAAAACCCAATTCGTTTATGTGGAACACTCTCCTCCGGGCCTGCGCTCGAAGCTCCGAGCGCGAAGAGCAGGCAATACTGTTTTACTGCAAAATGCTGGAAGAAGGGGATGTTTTTCCCGACGAATATACTTTCCCGTTTGTTCTCAGAGCTTGTGCGTACTTGTTTGCCTTGTCTGAAGGGAAACAAGCGCATGGAAACGCTGTGAAACTTGGGTTTGATTCGGATGTGTATGTAAGCAACAGTTTGATTCATCTGTATGCGTCTTGTGGGTGTTTGGAGTTGGCAGAGAAGGTGTTTGAGGAAATGCGCGAAAGAAGAAGCATTGTGTCGTGGAATGTTATGATTGACTCGTATGTTCGGGTTGGGGAGTTTGAGACTGCGCTGAAGGTGTTTGGTGAAATGCGGAAGGTGTTTGAGCCTGATGGGTACACAATGCAAAGCGTTATAAATGCTTGCGCTGGGTTAGGGGCTTTGTATTTGGGGATGTGGGCTCATGGTTATGTGTTAAGGAAGTGCGACAGTAGTGTAGCTAGCGATGTTTTGATCAATTCTTCGTTGGTTGATATGTATTGCAAATGCGGGTCCTTGAAACTTGCTCAGCAAGTATTCGATAGGATGCCTAAACGCGATGTGACTTTGTGGAATTATATGATTCTAGGGCTCGCCCTGCACGGGCAAGCTGAGGCAGCTTTGAAGTGTTTTGATTGTTTGGTTGAAACGGAAAGCTTTGCGCCCAATTCTATCACATTTGTCGGAGTTCTGAGTGCATGTAATCACAGAGGAATGGTTGAAGAAGGCCGTAGGTTTTTTGATATGATGGTAAAGGACTACAGGATTGAACCAAGGCTAGAACACTACGGATGCCTAGTTGATCTTCTGGCACGTGCAGGTTTCATCGACGAAGCTTTGAATTTGGTAACAACAATGCCTGTTAAACCCGACACTGTAATATGGAGGAGTCTTCTCGATGCTTGTAGCAAGCAACACGAAGCTAGCATTGAGCTAAGCGAAGAAGTGGCCAGGCAGATCCTCGAGTCCTCAGAAGGGGATGTTTCTAGCGGTGTTTATGTGCTCTTGTCAAGAATCTACGCCTCGGCTAGCCGTTGGAATGACGTCGGATCAATTAGGAAACTAATGGCGGAGGACGGCATAACAAAAGAGCCGGGGTGTAGTTTGATAGAGATTGATGGTATAACCCACGAGTTTTTTGCTGGAGATACATCGCATCCTCGCAGTAGAGAAATTTTTCGGGTCCTTGATACGATCAAAGAGAAGCTGGAGGCAGTAGGGTATGCGCCGGAATGTTCCCAAGGAGATTTGATTGATGAAAAACGATGGCAATCGGTTGGTGTTGGGCTGCACAGCGAGAGAATAGCCATTGCCTTTGGACTGTTGAACTTGAAGCCTGGCGTGCCCATACGTATATTTAAGAATCTGCGGATATGCAACGATTGCCATAAGGTGACCAAATTAATTTCTGAATTATTTGACGTGGAGATTATCATGAGAGATCGTGCTCGATTCCATCACTTTAAAGATGGCGTCTGCTCTTGTATGGATTATTGGTAGCTTTTTGCTCTTGTATTGTATCCCCAGTCAGCCATGTATATAGAAAAATGCTATGGAGACTTGCTCAAAAGTGGTACTCTTCTTAACTCTTTGCCGCCTCATGTTTTTATTACAATGGTTTGTAAAGTTAGCAAGAAAATTAACGTTAATTGTGAGGTGATAGACAGTCCTCGGAGAATCCCACTTTCATTAGCATTCTTCCAATATTTTGAGATTCTCAAATCCAATGTTGTATCATACTACGAGACAACATACTAATTGGCAAGAACGCACCGAAGTGGATTTGAGTATCTCAGCGTTATACTACAAACCCTAATTGACTTTTGAGTAGAGATGTCAAGCTTATATGGTCTTAACGAGCTTATCAAAGGTGAATAACTTGATCCTGTCAATAATACTATGTACACAAATATTTCTTTAGACCACTCGAAAGTCACACAAAAATTTCTGAAGACCACTCAAAATTCAAAAAATATACATGTGAAAATCGTCTCAAGATCCTTCAAATATTAGTATGCGTTCTTTTTGTGTCTACCAAGTATTTGATATAATGCCTATTATACATATCTTGACAGATTGCGTCAACACACTTGACAAATTTTATGGGTGTTTTTATTATTACTCGTCAGGTTGTTTCTTGTTGACATGTTCACAATATGTTTTGATTAACGATAATAAACCTACAAAGTGTTCAGCAAAAAGCCTGGATGAATAAAGTAAAACATTTTACGCGCTTGGCACTAACACCAAAACTCCATAACGTTCAAATCTGCATGGCAGTGTGTACACGTCATGGATTATTGGGAGAAGAGATCCTCTTTCACCAAGATCAACGAGTTAAGTGATTCAAACCTTTCAAATTTCATCCATCCATCCACCTATTTTAATTCCTTAAAAGTTATAATAATTTTAAATCGTTAGATAAAATTGAAAAGATCTAAATCACTTAACCCGATAAAGATCTGAGAGATCTCTTCTCGATTATTGGTAACTTTTCGCTAAAGTCAATATATAATTCTTTTGTTTTTTTATTGTTCACACGTCGGTCTACGCACGTTGTGGGACATGAAAAAATTAAAAATAATTTAGGTGGTGGGTTTGGTATTGATTTGGTTTGGGATCCACCGAACCTTCTCCTCTGTTTCCCAAAAGCCACCGATCAAGACGTAGACGTGCGTTTAAACCGGCAAAAAGCACATGCTAGAGCTAAGACCCACCAAATCAATAAAAAACATCATTTTCCAAAAATAATTAAATAATAAACAAATCCACAAAATAATTCTACAGCCAAAAGCAATCCGAAAATTCTCGCAGGAAGAACTAGCAGCAGCAGCAGGAGGAACAACAAGGGCATCAGTTCATCTGAAATGCTAACACGAACAACATAACTTTTTTACAGATTCAAGCAAGCCCCAAGCAAAAAACAGTGGACAAGAACACAAGTCCTTCAAACACTCTGCATATGACATCGACTGAAGGCGGGGCTTCGCGTTATCCGGTAATTCGAAACCTTGGTATGCCACACAATGAAGTCTTAAATCTAAATATGTACACAACATTATGAGAGTGTATATACGCAGCCGGACCAAAACTTTGATTTCTATTTGGTGTTGCCTCCTATAACAAACCTTGTTTTGCAAGATCTCTTCCAGCTGATACACCAAAACAAGAACCAAAAAAGAAAGGTAAAGACATAAGCCACATGAACTCGAAGGGAAACACCGCAAAAGATAGCAAACCGATCCATTCCAAATCTGAAACAACAACTAAGGGCTCGTTTGGGAAGCATTTCATACAAGAAGCATATGACTGGTTCTTTTTAAATGAAGCACTTCCAAGTGCTGTTGGAACCCAAAGCATTTCCTCTACAAGCTTTCAGTCATTTAAAAGCACTTCGCAAACGAGCCCCGAGACCATAAGAAAATGACAATAGAATTGAATCACACTCGAAAAGAATTGCCTTTTAACTTGAATGTTACCTGAACTACAGTCTCCTATAAATACTCAAATCAGAAATGGTTATAAGATTTCAAATCTCCTCATCCATATTCTTTTCCCCCTTCAATTAGAAACCCTACTTTTCGTTCTATGAATACAAAATTTCGCTAATCATAAGACTACAAGATGAGATATTCATAGATAAAAGGCAATGCTATCGAGTTTGTACTTGTTAGTTCACTAACATTTTCAGCTAAACGGCATCGGAAATTGCAGAGTTGATCACAATTAGTACATTGAACATAAACAAAGTAAATTAATAAAAGCCAAGCCCTCACCTTTAGAATCTGGCAACACCAGGACAACCTGCATTGTCACATTGTTTGGTGGAAGCTGCAATCGAAGTGGAAAGAGCTGCTGATTCAAAGGGCTTCGAGCGCAGACGATGATCCCCTCAATCCCGGTCTCCTCCTCGAGCTTACGAGTCAACTCATCAACCCCATTTCCTTTGAAAGTCATAGAGTAGCCCTGCACTGCCTCATCATCCACATCGCCGTTATCTTCAGCTATATGGTAATATATAGTCCTCCCTTCCGACTTCGGCGGCGACGCCACATATGAATCACTCGACTGCAATTTAAAATCATCAAATTCAATTAGATTAAATCGAACAAAATTCAGATCGAAATACGAATTATAAAAACCAAATTCAGAAACAAACCTCTTGTCTTGACAAATGGCTGGATCTGACGGAACCGGCTGATGGGGAGCTGGATTCGAAGTCCAGAGAATCGGAGTGGGGAAGCGGCGGCGGGCCGGACGGCTTAGCAGCCGGAGAGTTGATTTGAATCTCCACAACATCGACATCCCACAGAACCCAATCCTGCGTTGCGGTTCTGTGAGGAATATCATGGGTCACCGAGTTCCGCCACGGCGGGAGTCCTCCATTTGCTCGGAGGAAGTTGCCGTACCGGGTCTTGAGCCGGACCTGCTTGCCATCCCTGACGGGCTCCCACTCGACGGAGGAGTCGAGCCGCCGAGGCAGAGTCTGGAGCACTTTCCGGCCGGTCATGCCAAGGAGGTAAGGCTGGTTGGAGGCGGTGAGGTACTTGCCGAAGCAGCTCTTGAGTCGGATGATGTTGTCGGTTTCGGGTACGACCTCGACGGTCCACCGTGCCCTCGTGGACGACCCGTTTCGTTCCTGGGCGACGGACTCCTCGTCCTCCTCCGCTAGGAGGTACTTGTCATGGTGGCTGCGGAGGCGCACCGACTTGGCCTTGTGGAAGAAGTCCATTCCGATTCGGAACTTGTTGGATTTCGTCTGCGGAGAAATGGTTTCGGATTAAAAAATCGGAACTTGATGGATATTCTCGGTTTCTGAAAATATGGAGCGTATGCATTGAAGTTATGATATTTGTATTGGTCAAAAAACGACAAGTTCCCAGTCAGCGCCCGTAACTTAGAGCGTGGCACCACGCGGTTGTGTGTACGTGGCCTCATCTCTTTGTGGGTTCCGTGTGGGAGAGGCTGTTGGGGGGCGACATTCTTTTATCGAGTTCATATCGACTAGAATTTGCCTACACATTTTATGTGTATTTTTGGTTTTTTTATTTTTTATAAATATTGAAGGTATTTTAACATCATCTGTAGGTGAGGTTTCAATAAAAAAGAGTAAAATTTGAACTTGCGAAATTATATTATTGCCCATCATTTTTTTTGTGTAATAAAAGACTAATTTGTCTTTTTACTCTCTTTTGGTAGACAAAGAGAGTTTCATTAATTAGCAGAGATTAGATTGATGGCTTGTTTAAAAGTGTTTTTAAAATAATTAAAAGAGTTTCTAATGAAAATATTTTTGAACTAACTTTTAGTAAAGCGCAAGTAAATTATACAAAAGCATCATATATGGTTTTTTTTTCAAAAAATACTTTAAAAGTGTTATTAGAACTCAAAAATACTTTTTCTTAAAGCGTTTTTAATCATTTAAATAGCACTTCCAAATAAGACCTAATTTAGAATGCATCACAAACACATTGCACATGGGTTCACCAAGCACTACAAAGCCTAAAGCCACGTTTAACACACGGACTATATGGGAAATGGGGGTTCCTATGGGGAAAAGATTTTTTCAAGTATTGATTGTTTAAACAGTATTTCATATGTTATAACAAAAGTAGAAGAAATGATTTGCATCCCTCCACATGTTATAATACAATGAAATCCTCGCTTAGATACTAGACATTTCAAAAAATTTCTCCCTATAAGAGAATATGTTCTCGATATTAACATATTCCCTTATGGATAAATTAAAAAAAATGTTCACTTAAATAAAAATTTACTAGATTTGCGTTGTCACGAGGTCATTCACAACGAATTGAGTTGACTAAAATCCGTGTAGTAATGAGATCATGTTAATGGTTAAGATATTAGTGAAAGATATATTTTTTCTAGTTTAAGGTTGCAGGCCCTAACCAGCCCAAAAACATCACATTTATTGTAAGCATACCTAAAAATAAGAAATTTATCATAGGTAAGATCCAGGTAGGGTTTTCCTTTTAATATATTTTTGTAGATAAGGGTAGGATTGTCCACTTACACTATAAATTATAATAGTGTAATGTCTATTTCATGACAGATGTACAACTACGTCAATCGCTAATCTGAAAATGGCACCATGAGGCGATTGAGAGGAGTGAAAACTTGACCAAATGTAAAGGGAAGAGAACATCTCCGGATCCCTTCCACATAATTCTACTCATCAAATAATTTGGATTCTTGAAATTTGATCAAACGGCTAAAAACAAGGATCTACTCTAAAAGTTATAATAACTTTAGCCGTTGAATCAAAGTTTAAAGACCCGGATTGTTTAATAAGTAGGATTAGATGTAAGGGATCCGAAGAGGATCCCTTTCCAAATGTAAATGTGTTTATAAACTAGTGCGACTTTCGTGTCCTCCTACGGCCCACCCATTAAGTTGTGGTGCAGACGAGTTGGTGTGCATTTTCTAGAGGAGAAAATGCTACGGAGACTCTCAAAAGTGCAATTATTTATGTATTTTCTGTCATTTTGTATTTTTAGCACATTATTTTATATGTTGGCATGGAAATTGACGTTAAAATATAAGATGACAAATGATGCATAGAAAGTCTCACTTTGAGAAATTCTCCTTACCATTTCTCAATGGGAGGTTATATCGCAATTTGCAAACAATTATATGTCTGAAATCTAATGAATAGTCAAATTAGGGAACTAAATTCCATGGTTAGAATATAAAATTGCAACTAGTGTGTTATGCAGCTATTTAAATACCGAGTACACATGCATCCAATACTGGGAAATAACTTAAGTGTGTAGAACTCGTGACATTTAAGTTTGCCTCTTGTTTTATTAAGTCTTTTATAGTTTGGATCCTAGAGATTTCTTGTGGAAACAAATCAGTCGGCTCTAGTACCATATTTTTGTATTTGACAAAATAAAATGTAAGATTCCTCACTCAATTGGAAACGTACTGGCATGTCCAACCAATGCAATATCCATTTTTTCTTTTTAATTTTATCATTATTAAAGAGAAGAGAGGGGAATCGAAAATGTTTAAATATTTCAAGAGAATGAGAAGGTTCAAAGACATAACGCTTAAGTGAAAATCCAACATCTTATTCACTAGGATATTGAATCACATGCAGTATCGTGTATAATCACCAAACATTATAACATTTCATTGGCTAAATGCATGACCACGTAAAAATTTAAGATAAATACTAAGGAGACTCTCCATGGATTCTAAATCACCTTATATATTTGACACAATTTTTGTGCTAATGTTATAAAACATTGTATAAAAATATATGAGGTATTGGCGAGTTCATGAAAAATTTCACTCTTAGAGAATCTCCTTAATATTTTTCGAAATTTAATGCAACTGCTAAGCATTTTGAGGAACAATTAATAATTTTTTTTCTTTAAAAAAAGGACAATGAGTGGCAAGCCACGGTTATCCACTCCTTCCGGTGAAGACTCACAAAGGCATTTCAGTCTCCTTCTGACCACAAGTATGGCTTCCACAACAGCAACGGGTTCCAAACCCGAGACCTCCACACATTTTTTGTAGTGGTTGAAGGAAGCTTCATACTCTACTTTTGCTACTGAGTTATCAGTTCGTGGTTAGGAATAATTGATAATTCATCTTGTGATTAATTAAGAGAAGTGATTTTTGCAATTTTATTTATTTTTATTACGCATCTATTAATTTTTTAATAAATTGAAAATTAATTAACAACCTAAACCAAAAAAATGAGTGTAAAAATGGGTCTATAAACCACAATTCCGTTTGCCCCAAGAAGAAGGAAGTTAAATCAATTGAACAATCAACACGGTACCGTATGTCATGATCAAACTAAGATGCTTGATTAAAATTTAATGACAATTAACAAGCCTAATTAACTAAAATTAATTAAGCAAAAACTGAACATACCTGCTTAGCCAGATTTTTCGACGACGCCTTCGGAGACTTAGCCAGCTTTCCCGACGACGGCTCGGAATTAGGCGACTTGGTTGAAAATACCGAAATGGGCGACCCGTACTCCGACGAGTAAAGCTCGTCGGAAAACGACGAAAAACTCGACTGCTGCCACAGCAACGACTCTGACGCCGGAACCTCCGTCTCCAGAACGTCCCACAGAATCCAGTTCTGGGTCGATGACGTGGTGGGGTCGTCATGAGTGAGCGAGTTTCGCCACGGCGGCGGCCCACCATTGGCGCGCAAGTAAGTGCCGCACCACGTTCGCAGCTTGACCTGAAACCCGTCACGTATGGGCTCCCACTCGAACTTCCAGTCGACGAGGTTGTCTAACTCCGCCTGGATGACTTTATTGCCGGTCATGCCAAGAAGGAAAGGGAGGTCGGTGGCGGTGAGGTAGAGCCCGTGGCAGCTCTTGAGGCGGATGAAGTGGGATTTTTTCTCGACGAGCTCGACCGTCCACCGGGCCTTTCGGGAGGTGCCGTTGCGGCTCTGGCGGACGGACTCTTTGTTGTCGTCGGCGACAAGGTACTTGTCGAGGTGGCTCCGCAGCTTCACCGCCCTGGCGGTGTTGAAGAAGTCCATGGTTGATGATCAAAAAACGAGACCGTACTTTAAAAAATTAGGAAGATTGGGGTTTTGGGAAAAGGCTGGGTGTGTTGGGTTTTGCTTGTTGGTATTAAACTGCTTTTATAGGTTGTTTATATTAGAATAACTCTTAGGCTCGTTTGGGATGGACACTACCTAGAAAGTGTTGGAAATGAATCCTCGGGATTCCTTCCATCAAATCCACAAAATTCATCAATTCGGATCCTTAAAATTTGATCCAACAGTTACAAACATGAGTTCATTTTAAAAGTTATAATAATTGTAGCCATTGAATCAAATTTCAAAGGTTCGGATTGATAAACTTTGTGAATTTAGTGGAAGAGATCCGAAGATAAAAGTGTTTTTGCTAGAAATATTTTGAAGACAAACACGGTGAAACAAGCGGTTGGATAGCAAATACATTTTCTCAAAAACGCTTTTTATTATTTTGTTCGGTACACAATCGAAATTGTTTTTATTTTTTAATTTTAGACAAATGACAGTTACACTAAATTTATCTAAATTGAATACATTGATAGATATAGTTGAGCACAAGATAACATAATTAAATTCAAATTTAAATGAGTAACACTACATTTACCACATTTTTTTAGTACATTAATATTTTTAAGAGAAGTTCGGCTAAGCCTTACCACATATTGATACCAACATTTTTAACACCTTTTTAATAAAAGTAGGGCACACCAATACATGTATGCATTGTTTCTATTAGAGAAATAATACAAATGATGTTATAAATATAAGGTAAGTGTAACATTTTTGAATCCATATTTGTTTGAGAAAAGGAACATTTAGACCTTAAAAAAATAGAAACAAGATACTTGACTAGAAGATTGTTATAGTCAAGCTTTTGGATTCGTTCAAGTGTTTTTTTAGGATTCACTTACATTTTCACTAAGGATTGGTTTCAAAAACGCTTTCATCAAAAATGTTTTCAGTCATTTTAAAATAATTTTCAAATGAACCTATAGTTGAGCACAAGATACACTAACTAAATTCAAATTCAAATTTGCCTGAGAAAACAAACTTTTAGACCTTAAAAAAAACAAAAACAAAAACTTAATTAGAAGATTATTATGGTCAAGCATTTGGATCGCGAAAGCAGAAGATGGGAAGAAAATGACGATTAGGTACTTTGGTGATGGAGGAAGAAGTTTCCCGGCGGCAACAGTTCATTGACGAGTGGAAGCTGTTTGGGTTATGTAAAGGAATCGTGACTCTTGATGCCCAGGGACTGGTTTTGTCTTGGTACGGCTAAGCCGTACGGGGTTGATTGTCGTATATTCTAGAAGGTCATATCCGTGGACCGATGAGATTATTTTAGAAAGATTCATGCATTTCTAAGTTTGAGTCTCAAAATAATTCAATCTACTGTATCAATTAGCCGAAGTAAAATAATTTCTCATTTTAATTTTGACGGTTTAAAATCGATAGAAATTTTTTTGATATATCTGCTCTCTATTATTTTGATTATTTTTGAGAATTGAACTCATGATTTGATTAGTTCAACGAAATTTTTTTATGAAATGATCAAAATAATTGAAGATAGACAATCTCATATATCATTTTTATGGATTTTAAATCTCAATTATCAAAATAAGGAACTATGACAGTCTATGGACCATTTGGCTAAAAAGCCATTTAGTGTTTCCTTAAATTGTCCATTATTTTATAAATCATTGAATTTAAATTAAGACATTTACATTAAGACATTTAAAACATTATTAAGATGCACTATTAAGAGCATTTTAATGCGAGAAATTGAAGTCCATTTCTGCGTGTTTTTTTTTCATTGAAATATGAACAACGACAAAGAGTGTGAAAAGGGGCAATAACTCTCCAATTATATTCTAATATAAATACTTGATTGACATGGTCTGTTAAGCCGTTGACATTTCTTGCTCATATTATATTGTATTAATATAATGCTCCATTTCCTTCCATGTGTCACTCATATTAATGCTTTAAAATGCGCCAACCGTTAGGTTCTAGTCAAACGGCGAGCATGGGCCTAGCCTAGGCATCCAGGGGCTAGTGTTTCTTTTTTTATTTTTAATTAAATTTATTATATAACTTATCATAATGTCTACTTATACTTAAAAATACATAATTATATTAGGATACATAAATTACAAAACAGAATGATATATAAATTATAAAGTACAATAACATATTGAAAACATTGGAAATAAATATATAATTAGTGCTTATCAAGTATCCAACAAGTCTCTTACAATTTATTAAAAAAAAAAGAAAAATGGAAATTACTTATTTTCTATCTATGTGAGAGTCGCGACCTAGATGATTTAGACGGATCTAAGAGGGCGCTTAGGCATATCTAGACGTCCTTTTATATTATGTAAAAGCCTAATTAATTTTGGCAATGACGAACAACGCCTAGACGAAAATTTTTTGAACACTACAAGTAATACATGAGATGGTACACTTGGATTTTATTCTGAATTTTGATTGCTGTAGTCACAATTTCAGCTACAAAAATGTATACATCAAATGTGTGTACACAAGTTCTAACTGATTGGGGCTTAAGCAACCTAACAATTTAAATAATTTTTTTTTTAAATTACAAAATGATGTATACAAATGAGTTGAGAGAGTTTAAACTTGTATGGGCCATGCAGTCTTGTCTCAAGGAAGGTAAATTATAGGGCCAATAGTAACGAGATGGGCTTTCAACAATAACATCCACATATGCATCCAGACGTGGGCCCACCTTCTGCTTGTGGTCAAATAAGTGGAACTCTCCCGCCTTTTTTTTTAAACAATAACTTACATGTGTGAACATCGTACGTGGACATAATTGTTTTTTGCTTCGTATTCTAACGCCTTTTTTTTAAACAATAACTTACATACATGAACATCGTACGTAGACATAATTGTTTTTTGCTTCGTATTCTAACGCCTTTTTTTTAAACAATAACTTACATACATGAACATCGTCCGTAGACATAATTGTTTTCCGTTTCGTATTTTAACTTTATCAAAAAAATAGGTTAAAAATGTGTGCAGCAATAGTGGACGACGTGCTCAAGGTAAAAAATTGCACCCGGACGCTGTAACCAAGCACAGAAAGGCTTTTTATTTTATTTTAATAATTTCACAGAAATCGAGGTGCTTTTGAGCCTTCTTGGTTCTTGCCTCTCGGGGGCCTATGTCCGTGGACCCCTACCATGAGAAAAAAAAGAGGTCAAAAAGCCTAATATGCTATTCACTACAGTTTGTCAACCGCAGTCAATGGAAGAAAACTAAATCACAACTTTATTGTTCAATTTCCTTTTTTCTTTCTCTTATTTTTTAAAGAAACGTTATTATCTACCGTAATAGGAAAGATGAGCTTAGTTTTATAATAGAAAATTATTATCGACATTCCAAAAATCTCATTTTACACTTCAAACTTTTTATATTTGAAAAGAAAAATAAACTTATGAGGAATGTAGAAAGAGATTTTTAGAGTGCTAATAACACTTCCCTTACAATAAGTTACAATAATGTAGTTTAAATTATTTTAGACGAGAATCAAAGTTAAAACCTCTTACTTACAAGTAAACAAGAATATCACTAGATTTCAAAAGAAAAAGAAAATATTTGAAATGTCATATAAATTTTCATACTTTTTTATTTTGTTACGCGAACGAAAAATTTAAAGTGCATTATCATATTAACTTTTTGAAATTATTAATTTGTCATCTCACCTTAACTCCGTTAAAATTTTCATCTAGTGTTTATTGTTATTTCGGACATTTCAACGTAAAAAATATCATCAAACTTTTCCATAGATGAAGCGTCTCTAGTAACTACCATTTTGAGTCATTTTCACCTCGTAATAAAGAGGAACAAGTGCAAGTCGTTCCCCTTCTAGGAACAACAAACTCTCATACCCTAGTATACAAGATAAACCCTATTTATGTACTTTTTAAATAAACTCTAGAATTATTTTTGCTAAAGGCAACTTATTAGAAAGGGAGTGAAATGTTAAAATGTCAAAATAACTCTGAATGCAAATCATGTGTAAACTTATTTTGGATAGAAAACTTACCGAAGCTAAAATGAGATGACAAAATAATGATTTTGAAAAATTGGTATGATAAATTGTTGAAAATTAGTTTATATGATCAATTAAAAGGAGTGCATGTGTACATATGACATTTCAAAAAAAAAAAAAAAAAAAAAAATCTATTAAAAAATAGTGGTACCCTTTTGCATAAAAGAATTATTCAATTTTACAAACAAATTATGCGACGACGCGTGATAGAACTTATTTTTCTCTCTTATTTTAATTAATTTTATTTACATACGTGTTAGGTTGTGCGATAGATAAGAAATCTTGCATATATGAAGCAAAATTGTGTCATAATTGAATTAATCAAGCAATAATGGCAATCATTTTGAAGGGAGAGACCTCATCACTTAAATGCAGGAATTCTTAATAAAAAACAGGAATTCTAAAAAAAAAAAAAAAAAATTAATTGCAAACTCATTATTTATAAAAAAAAAGTTAATAAAAAAAAAAAAAAAAATCACCCACGAGGGCCACTGGGCCACTGGGCCACCAATAACTTTCGAGTTTTATTGTCTTCTCTCTAGATCTCGACCTCACTCCACGTGACCCTCAGGTTCAAGATCTCGTTTTTATCATTCGTGACTCCTAAAACTTCACTCTTTACACTCCCCTCCTAACACCCATTCCCATCCACATCCATGCCTCCACCACACTCCGTCGCACTCTCAGCCCTGATCCTCCTAACACTCTACTCAGCTACCACCGCCGCCCACTCATGTTTCCCAAAACCATCGTCCTCCTCCACATTTTCCTGTCCACCATTCACTTCGCCGCCGCCGTTCCCCTTCTCTTCTTCACCAGGCTGCGGCCACCCTTCTTTCCAAATCCAATGCTCTGCCCCCCACTCCACCATCTCCATCAATAACCTCACTTTCTCTCTCATCAGCTACGATGCCAACGCCTCTTCACTCCTTCTCTCTCCCCACACCACCAACTTAACTGCCACAAATTGCTCATCCTCTCACTATTCTTCCATCCCCAGCCGATCCATCAACATCTCCGCCTCCCCATTTCGAATATCCGACGGCTCCTGCTCCCGCCTCTCAGTTCTCAAGCCTTGTTCCCCGCCGAATCTTCCCAACTGCAGCCACTGCCCTTGGGAATGCAAGCTCATCAAAGACCCACTCAAGCTTCTCCACGACTGCGGATCTCCGCACCCCCCTGTCACCCACCAGGGCTGCCACGCCGACGTTTTGAGCTTTCTCGACGATTTTCTCAAAATTGGGATCGAGCTGGAGTGGGACGAAGCTCAGGACTCTTACTTTTCCAGATGCAGAGCTTGCAAGTCCAACAATGGCTTCTGCGGCTTTAACTCCTCCGACCCAAATAAGCAATTCCTCTGTTTTCACGCCGAACCTCACCTTACGCCGCCATTGATCAGCAAAGACAACCCGAATCGAATCGCCATCTTGTCCTCTGTGTTCACATTAACTTGCTTCCTACTCGTCGCCTCTGTTATCATAGCCGTCTTCAGGTCCAAAAGATTAAGCTCGGCCGCAACAGAGGAAGACCCAACAACTCTGTTCCTCCACCGCCACCGCCCCGCCAACCTCCTCCCGCCAGTTTTCACATACGAAGAGCTCGAATCCTCAACAAACCACTTCGACCCGAAACGCAAAATCGGGGACGGCGGGTTCGGGTCTGTCTATCTGGGTCAGCTCTACGATGGCAGAGTTGTTGCCGTAAAATACCTCCACAAACCCATCCGCGGCGCCACCGCATCCGGGAAAGCCTTCTCCAACAAATGCTTCTGCAACGAAATCCTAATCCTCTCCTCCATTGACCACCCAAATTTAGTCAAACTCCACGGCTACTGCAGCGACCCGAGAGGCCTCCTTCTAGTCTACGACTACGTTCCCAACGGCACCCTCGCCGACCATCTCCACGGCCCCAAGAGCCTCCATCGGAATGGGTCGATGACGTGGCAGGTGAGGGTCGACATTGCTCTGCAAACGGCCATGGTTATGGAGTACCTGCACTTCTCGGTGGTGCCGCCGGTGGTCCATAGAGACATAACGTCGTCGAATATCTTCATCGAGAAAGATATGCGGGTTAAAGTCGGGGACTTTGGGCTTTCCAGGCTGTTGGTATTCCCCGAAACGACGTCGTCCAGCTCCGGGTACGTTTGGACCGGTCCGCAGGGGACGCCCGGTTACTTGGACCCGGATTACCACCGGTCGTTCAGGCTGACCGACAAGAGTGACGTGTACAGTTTCGGTGTCGTTTTACTGGAGCTGATTTCGGGGCTGAAGGCGGTGGACCAGCGGAGGGACAAGCGGGAGCTGGCGCTGGCGGATTTGGTGGTGTCGAAAATCCAGATGGGCCTGCTCCACCAGGTAGTAGACCCGGTTCTGGTCGTCGACGGTGACGTATCCGACGGCGTGGATGCGGCGGCTGAGCTGGCGTTCAGGTGCGTTGCGGCGGATAAGGACGACAGGCCGGACGCCAAGGAAGTGGTGGAGGAGCTGAAGCGGATCAGAAGCCGCACTCGTGGGGTGTCCCGGGTTTCGAGTTCGAATGTGATTGGCGACGACGTGACAAAGGGATGATCACAGACGGTGGGGCCCGTGGGGGGAGGGAGTGGGGTCTGGTGTGCATGTGCGGGGTTTGACTGATAAGTGAAAGAGTGAGGGAGGGGGAAGTCAGAGATGGCGGTGGTGGAACGAATGTGAATAGATTTGCGTTTGGTTAACTTTGGATCTCCCCTGTGCTTTTCCCCTGCTTCTGGTTTTTTTCTCTTCTCTCTCTCTCTCTCGTCTCCTTCCAAATCAAATTTCGGCATCTGCTAATTTATCAGTTCCAATTCGATCGACGATCATGTCCTTCATTGCTTCGGTGTGTGTCATATATCGAAGCATTGTAAATAAATGTGGTTTCTAAATTTCCAATTTTGGTGGGAATAGTTGCTCAGCTAATTTGTGTGGAGAATATTAGCTATCTCGGTACTAGATACCCCCCAAGTTAAGGGGACAAGAGAGGCGGACATGTTCAAGTTAGGTATGCCATGCCACCTTTAAAACGTATGGACCTGTGAGTGTCCAAGTCGTACTCAAATACATTGGAGCCTGTCCCTGTGAGAATGCGTAACCATCAAGCTGATTAGGCTGTTCTACACACGTTTCTCCGTTCTCCCAGTTGTAAACACAGAATTGCGAAAAGAAAGAAACATCAACCGGCTGTTTCCAAGGTAGGAAATTAGGTTCTTCTTTTATTTGAAACCAAAAGTACATATTTGTTCATGTTCCACGAGTATCCCATGTAGATAATACATTTGAAGTTATGTAATGTGTAAAGATAATACATATAGTACAGAGAACACATACAACACCTGGTTACGGGAAATATGCGTTCTCCAAACGCTTGGCCTCCTCGCTTGCAGTTGCCGCCTCCTCATCCCTGCCTGTCAGTTTATAGCCTCTCTCCTGCAAGCAAGACATACACCACTACATGAAACTCTTCTGAATGATATCGGTCCTACTGCTCATATTCAAATCGAGTGTTACAAAGCTAAAGTATACCAGCAGGCGCCAAAGGAAAGGGATACCCTCTCTTGATTTGATCCGCTTCTTAAGCACTCCAATTGCTGAAATCCACACACAACTGAACAAGTCAGAAGAAAATCACCGGTGGGGTTTGATGGCGAAAGAATAGTGTGTATCATACCTTTTGCAGCTTGTCCATTGTTAAGCAGCATACAGTACCAGACCTCATTGAATATATCAATCTGTTCACCCGATGCTCCGATCATCTTGGATGATAGCACATAAGAATTCTTTAGCGCCTCTCTATGTAGAAATAGAGAAGAACAAGGCAAGGAAATCAGTTCTCAATGTTAATACCTTGTAGTTATCTGCATCAAAGTCGTGACCAAGCAATTCTAATGCTTGTTTTTCGTTACCCTTCCCATACTCGTACGTGGCTTCTGCAAGCTGATAACGAAGATATGGTCCTGTTATTTATAATGACAAACCAAACCGTAACAGTGATTATCTTCTAAATTCATTCTCTTGCTGATAGTATGGAAGAAAAAGGCCTGAGTAAAAATGATGTGGCTATTGATGATTAGATTATTACTAAGCGTTGATTAACGTGCTTATTTCTTATTGGCAACACAGTTTCAAAATTGGGGAAGGTAGCGATCAGAACAAACCAGTATTGCGTTCTGCATGAACTGTTGCTTCTTTTCGTTCATCTTAGTAATTCTACATGAGGAAGAAAGTAGGAATCAAACATTGAAAGATAATGGTAGATAGAGTGCCATTGAGTGAGAGTGGGAGGTTCCTTTCACCTGGATTTCAAGCCCTTGAGCAATTCTTCTGCCCTTGAAATTTCACCAGTATAAGCCAACGCCCATAAAACTAATATGTCAAACTGCCAATCTAAATACCAGTTGGCCTGAACAAAGTGGAACAAATTCGGACAACAGAACTAGATTAAGTGTATGACAACAATTCAAGCACACGAAGCATGGAATGCACATCACCCAGTAAAATAACAATCGCGATATGGGCTACCAGTTCATATCATTCTTTCCTATATTATAGTCCTAGCGATCGAAAAATTTAATAAATATTCTCCGTCAACACATTTATACAAGCCATTCTTATTATGTTCTACTCTTTGCTGCATAAACGAGCACACCTCTTGAGACGAAATGAACCCAAGGTTCAACTTACTTCATCTGTCACACAATTCGCTAAGGTCTTCAAATGGTCCTTAAAGGCATCCATTTCACCCCGAACATGCACCCGTAACAACAACCCAAGGGCATTCAAGTAGACCTAATTGCAAAAGACGTTAGGAATGGAAGATGCAAAAGAGCAGGGTGATCTGAAAAATACTTTCAACAAACCTCTGGACGTGGAGCATCAGGTCTCTCCAACTCCTTCCAGATAAAATGGTCATATAAATCTCGGATTCTTTGGATTTGAGCATGACCTTCTAAATAACAAAGAGCTACATGCCACCAATTGTGTGTGAACCTGATGATCGTAACACTTACTAGCATCTAATTACCAAGTGAAAAAAAAAATCAAACTATAAACTAATTCAATACTCATACATGAATGACGAACACAAATCCCATGAAGGTGAGCATTCTTCCATGAACTCTACTGCTTCTTTAAAGCGGCAATTATACTGAAGAACATGGCACATCTGCATAAGAAGTTAGAATGCGTGAATTACAACATCAAGAACTTAAGCATTTGAAACTTCTTGCGACAACTAACAGACGGTGATACGAAATAAAGTAAATGATTATAGCTCGCAGTATGTTGCACCCAGCAGTCACGCTTGTTGATTTCATATCCCTTTTTCGCAGCTTTCTCAGCGTCTTCCATTCGTCCAAGCTCCAATAAAGGAAAAGCAAGCATGCCATATACAAAATCTTCTTGTTCATTGCTGGGTAGAACCTGTTAGAAAATTGTTACGAAGCAATGAAGAAAACGTAAGAAGTTTATTTAAAATTCTTGAAACCACAGACAAATGTGCTCTCCTAATTCCTATATCTTAAGTCATAAACTACAATTCTTTGGTTGAAATTGCTCAATGCTCATGCAAGATGCTCGAAAAATAACAGCTAAAAAATTATCTTCCACTGCGTCAACATTGTTTAACGAAAATAAAACTTCATATGGCGATGGTGCAAAAATGAACCTGTTGAACAAGATCCAACGAAAGGTCAGGTCGAGCCATGTAGAAGCAGAGCACTTGGGCCCTTTGCAGAGAAGCCAAATCTCTAGGAAAACTTTTCAGGAGCTGCAAAATATAATGAAATAACATTATGAGTTAGTCATAATACCACATGACGGTGTTAAGATCACACCAACATATTTCTTAATAACTTGATTGATTACCACGTGGTATCATGCCATGAGTTAGCTGGGCTACATTTTTGTTTCATATAAAAACAATTTCAGTCGTCATTTAACCAACAAAGCCATTGCAAACACTAAACTTATGTTGAAGGGTTGTCATGCTCATACAAAATACTTAAACCACACAGTTTCTCCTACCATATCTGCCACTCGCCCATGGACCATTCAGTTTCACTAATATAGACGAACAAGGGGAACCAAGCAATTGGAAACATTGTCAAAAACATCCGAGCAACATTACGCTTCGTTAACACCCATTTATGTCTTGGATTCGGGATGATATATCATATATCGGTTATGCAAACCAGAGAAGATGCCTCCAAATCGTAAGGGCAGTGAACTCTTTACCATAAAATTGGAATTTGAAGTGAAAAAAGTTTGTAGTTTGAGGCCTATTTCCACAACGTTTTTCAATCGAATTTCCTCAACGTTTGTACATATAACTGTAGAAGTAGAGTCGCACTGGATCATCTGCTATACCAGCATGACTGACCAAATAGTTACTAACGAGCTGGTTAAAATTGTGAATAAACCAAAAATTAAAAGCTAAGGAAACCAAGTAGATAGCAATAAAAACCCGATAAAGAGGAACTGGCCCACCTTTGAATGCAACTCGAAAGCAACATCATCGTCTCTATCCTTAGAAATAAAAAAATTGACAGCATCAAACACTGCTTTCTCGTACGGGGTAGCTTGTTCCTTCGCACGACAAATTTCTCATAACTCCACAAAAAGTAAATATCCAAAGATTAATCAACCCAAAAAGGTAAAAACTAATCGAAAAAACTTACCAGCCGGGACTTGGCGGCTTGGAGATGAGAAGGAGCTCGGGAAGGATCGGATGAGAGGAAGTAAGCAGCCAGAATGTTAGCAAGCACGCACTGGTCGTCGTGCGCCGCCGCCTCCAATATCACCGACCACCGCCGCCGATAGTTTAAAACCTTCATTCACTCATCAAAAATGAAAAACCTCAAACCCATCTCGGATTTTCGCATACGAAAACAAGAGAGCAATCGAGAAACACTGAAAGAGAGAAATAAATTGTCGGGACCCACCTGGTCGTAGAAGGCGTTGATGGCGGAGATGCAGGCGTCGGAAGAGGTCCTCACCTCGTATCCAAATTTATCAACTTTTAACTCTCCCTCCATTTTCCAACTCTCAGTAGCTAGCTGAGGCTGCCACTCTACTCCCCGGCGATCAAAGAACAGAGCTTTTTGCTAAGAACAGTGCCAGCGACCCCAACTAAAACTGGGTTTTGTTTTCTTTTGGCTGTAAACATTGGATATAAGTCAAGATAAAATTATATATGCTAATAAATAATAAATGTAAATAAGAAATTAACAAAGTATGAATAATATTAAATAGAAATATTGAAGATCGAGATTTGTGTACCGCAATGTTCTTGAAACAGAAATTTCGTCCATACTCAGTGCTTGTAATTCTACAGACGTCTGCTTCATCAGAATTCAACGATCAAGTTAGAATTCCAGCACCGAAAAAATTGACTTCTGACGAATTTCTATGTGGTTCTCTGAGTAAGGATGTTTTGGATTATAGAAGAAGAATTGTTTTTTCTGTGTTCTAAATGTCATGCAGATGGATGTATATATAATATGATTATGCCTGTTCACAACAGGTATGAGGAAGGGATGCATCTGTTGGGAGACATCTTCTCAGAGGGTGTTTTCTTTTTGCGTTTTTTCACACTTTAGACTTCATCTGAAAAGATAAGTAGGTTGGTAAAAAAATAAATAATTAATTAAATTCGAAATTAATTAAAACTAATTACTTAAATCCGAAAATAATTAATTAATTTAATTATTAGAGCCCAAGAGCCCCAAGATCCATATTTTGATAATTAATTATATATATATATATTAATTACCAATTAATTAGTATACCCAAAGCCCAACTCAAGGGTGAGCCCAATTTTAGTCTCCAAGGCCTATCACTCAAATCATTTTCTATAAGGGACAAACCCTTATAAAGTGAGGAAACCTTTTGGGAATGACCAATGTGAGACAATGAAATTTCTACTCAAAATTTCCAACAATACCCCACATTTGAGTTGAAATTTCATTCAAACTCCAACAACTACCCCACATTTGAATGCAAATGTATGACAAGGCTGCCTAAAACAGAGAGAGAATAGACATGAGATGCATCCGATGAAGTGTCTTTTGGACTTGAACTTACCCTAGTGAAAACATATCGGGATGTGAGACAATAAAATTTCTACTCAAAATTTCAAACAGTAAATTGGAAAATCAGTGTGAAAATAGTTGAGGAACTAGGAAGATCGTTCTCAGTACTCAAGAAAAACTAACCATATCATAGACGATAAACGGATGTAATTGCAAGATCTTCGGATCCTTACAAAAAGGATTCGGAGAGAATCCTCGTTCCCATATTTAATGCATCAGTAACCAGGTGTGGTTGAGTTTATTATTTTGATCAAGAAAAATAAATATCCTATACATGAGCACCAGGTGTCATTTCAGTTTATAATTTTCTTTGTAGGTTAAATATCACTACCGCTACACTATGTTAAGTTTAAGTAACAATGAGCTTCATACTTAAAACATGTTAGTTTATAAGTATCATAGTTATGAGTTCAATATATTGAACTTGTGAGTATTGGTTCACTGTAAGTATATGATTCATATATAAATTTAATATATTAGTATCACACTCACTTTTATCAGCCTTTAAGTCTCGAACGGAAGAAAATGCTATCTCGTTATGTGAAAGGCCGAAGTACTCTCGAACTGAAGAAAATGCAATCTTGTTATTGACAACTTGGAAGAAGATGATTATAAACTAGAGTCTTTGCATTGGAGAAAGAAAATTAAACCACATGAATACACCATTTTTCGGGGAGAAATTTCGGAGTCCAGACCACCAAATCCCTACGACCTAGACTTAGAAAACCTCCGTTGTGAGTACTCACAGACATAAAAACAGGCCAGGCTATAAGTTTTGTCAAACTATCGTGAACATATGTCTCGCCTGCATACTATCACTATGACGTCTTAGATACATGTAAGTTTCTCGCCTAATTAGACGGAGGAGGAGCGGCTGCAGCTCTTGCTTTGGCAGCAAGAATCTTAGCAATCTCAACAAGCTTGTCAGTCGCAGGCATAACATCCTTCACAGCAGTATGTGCACAGAACTTGTCAGCCCATTTTACCAGCCCCGGCGTTTTCGTTTGGTCGAGCAGTTTGATTCCATGCAGCTTCTCGTTTACTCTGAGCCACCCCAAGAAGCACCCGAACGCAATGTCCAAGTATCCGATCTCATCTCCGCCGAAAAATACGTTGCCTTTGCTGGATTTCTCAAAGGCTTCCTCCAGCAGCGCCAGCCCTTCTGTCACTTGTTCGATTACTGCCTTCTTTGCCTCCTCTCCTTGTGCAAAACCAATGCCCTTCATGGATGGATACCACTACAACCATTTCAATTGAATGAGACATAAATTAGTAACGTGGATTAATTGTACCAAAAGCTTAAGCTAGCAACAAAGAAAGACGTTGTGCTTGGGCTTTGAATAAAAACTTGCTATGCTTCTAATAAAAGCGTTTCTATTAGCAAGTTAGACGTTTATGAGAAGAAGTGTTTTACGCATGACCATAATAAATCATTACCTTCTCGCTGATATAGGCAGCCCAAAATCGTGCAGTAGCGCGATCGTAGGGGTCAGAAGGGAGGATAGACGGACCAGATGCCCAAACTTCGTCAATGTACTCAACAATGATGAGAGATTCACAAACTGGTTTGTCACCATGAATGAGAACTGGCACTTTCTTGTGGACTGGATTGGACTGAAGAAGAAGCTGGCTTTTAGATCCGAATGTCTCCTGAAGAAACTCGTAGTCGACGGATTTGAGGTTAAGGGCAATGCGAGCCCTCATCACGAACGGACTCGGCCACATTCCCAGAACTTTGACGTCGCTGTTGCCCATAATTAATCCTCGACTAATTAGCTTAGCACTCAACTAGTGATCTAATTCAAACACTGATGAGTTCTGCAGGGTTTAGTGTATGTGCGTGTTGGGTGGATCTAAACAAGGAAACACAAGGATTAAGTAGGAAGAAGAAAGTGTTTGGTATCAATGAGCCTACTGGCATTAGTCTGGTGCATTTGGTTGTTGGACGCACGTTTCAACTTTGAAGGGTAGGCAACATTCAAAGTTTGTTTTAATTAAAAAAAAAGTCATTGAATCAAAATCAAAAGAACGACTTACTTATACCTAGTATACTATTGTGGCATTCTCGGCTTAATAATACGACAGATTTCTTCCATTAAGGTCATCGGATTTACTGATCCGTGTCTTTTAAATTTCATCTAACAGCTCATCTATTTTGATCCCTTAAAAGTTGTAATAATTTTTGACCGCCTATTTTGACCCCTTAAAAGCTATAATAATTTTTTACTGTTGGATGAAATTTGAAAGGTCCAGATCACTTGATCTAATGGCCTTAGTGATAATACAATTCCAAAATCATTAAATTAGGGGTTTGAGATTTTCCAGACCTGTGCCAAAAAAAAAAATTGCAAACCTTGACTTTTTTTAGTGAAGTTTTTCGATTCATTCCAAAAAATGAACCGTAGGATTGAAATGTTTTGAGCCCCTGTGCACAAGACGGAAGTGGCACAAGTGAATCACACAACGATCAATAGTTGACAACTAGTTATACAATTGTTTCTTTCAACTATATGAGAACTATCTATACAATTGTTCTTTTCAACTATACCGTTATCCATATTATAATCAGGACGAATTTATATAAAAGACATCTATTGAACTAGTAGATGCACGTAAATGATTTATTTCACTATCAAATAAACATAAAAACCAGACACAAAATAAAACAAAGTCCATGAGTTTACCAAACTACAGCATCGTCTAATACATCCGACTTAATAATTTACCAAACTACAGCATTGTGTCTAATACATCCGACTTAATTTCTTAGTCACTAGTTTAAACAACAAGATCCATTGATTTGTTTCACTAATTAATCACTTGGAAGCACCTGCAGCTCTCAATCTGGCCATAATAATCTTTGCAACCTCAGCCAACTTGTCAGTCTCCGGCATAACATCCTTCACAGCAGGATCTGCACTGAACTTCTCAGCCCATTTGACCAGCCCTGGGATCTTTGCTTCGTCCAGAAATTTGACCCCATTCATTTTCTCTGTGACTCTGAGCCACCCCAAGAAGCACCCGAATGCAATGTCCAGGTACCCAATTTTGTCTCCACTGAAGAAGTCCTTGCCTTTGCTGGTCTTTTGAAAGGCTTCCTCCATTTGAGCCAGCCCTTCTGCAACTTGCTCGACTGCTGCCTTCCTTGCCTCGTCTTCTTGAGCGGCACCAATGCCTCTCAGCGACGGAAACCACTGCACCCATTTGAATCCGTTACTTGATTAAACGAATAAATGTACAACGACGTGTACAGTAGTGCACTATACCAAATGTTTTTCGACAAAAATTTGCACGTCTCATGTTGTATATCTCTTTTCTTTTTCTTTTTTTCTATTTCCCTAATCACACTCACGATGTAACGAGAAATAAAAAAAAAGTGGTATAAAAAATAATTCATAGGACTCTCTCTCTCTTTGTTTCATTTCAACTAAACTATTACCACTCAATACCATTTCTACACCACTTAGTACTACGGTCAAGTGGTATTTCTCTGCACTTGTAAGTGAAAGATGTTAGGTTCGAATCTCGCCAAAAGTGAGTTTGAACCATATTATTGCTAGCCTATTGTGAGCTTACCCCCTTCCCTTTAGGGTAGATAATATAGTTTGTTTAAACAAACAAAAAAAACCATTTCTACAAAAGATATTCAACAATATCTACAAAAGTGAACATATTTTAGGGCTTGTTCGGGAAATTCTTTTGTACAAGTAAGAATGCAGATATGCTTTTGTGTTTCTAAAAAAAGTAATTAGAATCCCCACATTTTTTTTCAACTTGTTTAGATTAAACACTATTTTTTTTTTAACAAAATTAGATTAAGAAGCTTTGATCAATTACCAACTCAACAATTTTCTACTTATTTAATATATATATATATATATATATATATATCTACTTAAACTAGATAACAACTAATTTCCTACAATCTATGAATTTTAAATTCGTATTTAAAACTCACAGTACATTTGAAAATAAACGAACCAACTTTTAGTACGTTTAGAATTTAAATGTACCAAGAAACAAAATGTACTAGAAATCCAAATATTACCTAAAATCAAATGTACCAATATTATAGATAATCAAACACACCTACAATTTGACCAAAATAAAAACGCATCTATTATAAAATTGTAGAAAAAAAATGTTCAATCAAATTCTTAAAAGAAACAAATGTTCAATCAAATTCTTAAAAGAAACAAATGTTTAAACAACGAAATAGAAAAACGAGGTGCCTATATCAAAACGTCCCTTTCTAAAAACACTATTAATCATTCTATCAGCAATTCCAAACAGATGTTATTTGAGCCATATTAAGGAGATAGACTATCAACAAACCCCTTTAAGCATATTTTATTAAGTAATGGAAAAACAATAGAAAAGAAACAAAGAGGAACATAATCCCTCACATTTAACTGGTTAATCCAAATAAAATTTAATAAATTAACGAAATTAGCCTACAAAAATTAAAATTAAGGACACGAACAAAAACCGTGCACTTACCTTCTCATCGACGTAGGCAGCCCAAAATCTTGCAGTAGCGCGATCCAACGGGTCAGAAGGGAGAATCGACGGGCCTGAGGCCCAAACCTCATCGATGTACTCCACAATGATGAGAGACTCACAGACGGGCTTATCACCATGAATGAGAACTGGGATTTTCTTGTGGACTGGATTGGACTGGAGAAGAAGCTGGCTTTTGGGTGCGAACGTCTCCTCAAGAAGCTCATACTCCACTGACTTGATATTGAGCGCGATCCGAGCCCTCATCACGTATGGGCTCGGCCACGCTCCCAAAACCTTTACGTCGCTCTTCGCCATGATCAATGATTCAGATTCTCTATCAAACTCGAAAAGCTGTCGAAATGCAAATGCAAAATCTGTGTTTTGGGGTTCCTGTTATTTATGAATGTGCATGAAAGGTGAAAGCAGGAGGATTTATGAGGAGGTTTGGATAATGGGTGTGAACGTAATGACAATAGGTGTGGCAGTGGGGAAAGGTTTGAAACGTAGGAAAAAAAAAATTTAATGCCCTGTGTTCCGAGTCCATAATTCGTGCACTGTGTGGTTGGAAAGAGACTTGCATGCACTTTTCAAGACGATAATGAAGTGTTCCGAGTCAATAATACAATGGGAACGTTAAAACACATAACATTGGATATTATTTACTAATGATGCTATCAAGTCTGGACAGTTGAGAGAAACTTAATACAATCGAGAGCTAAGTTGACAATGAATCGAACCTATTATTTGCTGTCATGTCCTTTAACTTACCCGCTTGAGATGTCGTGATCTGTTTGCGATACCGTATTTGAACGGTGTTTCAGGTTCAACGTTTTCAACTTGAACCTAGTTTTGGTTCGTCTTTGTGTTCAGATAGGCAATAGGATGTTGTTGGTGTGTCGTGCGGTGGAGATTGGAGCACGTATGAGCAAATTTGAAGTGGGTAGGCTTTGGAACAGCGTGGCTTACATGGCATTCAGTCATTTATGCTTCGCGGGTACTTTTCTTGTTCGTACGTGTGAACACATTTGAAGTCTGTAGGCTTTGAACTGCAGGCGCATGGTCTTATTCTGCCACCATATTGCGTGCATTCTTTTCCACAATACACCTTTTACAGTCTCTGACATCACTCCTAGGAGACGGAAATGGATCTTTTTCGGATCTCTTCTTTCTAATTTATCAAATTTGAAAATTCGAACTGTTAAAATTTGATCCAACTATTAAAGTTATTATAATTTTTAAAGTAGACCTCTGTTTGTAACGGTTGAATTAAATTTCAATGATCCGAATCTCCGAACTTGGTAGATTAGGAGAAAGGATTCCTTTCCCTAGGAGACAGGAGGACGGAGCTGATAGCTGTGAAGGTGAGTGACAGTTGTATATGAAGATGCTACTTCTGGAAAAGTAGAGCAGAAGCACCAGTGGTCTAGTGGTAGAATAGTACCCTGCCACGGTACAGACCCGGGTTCGATTCCCGGCTGGTGCATATGTTTTTTAAATTTTGAATAAACTGAGTTGCTAGCCTCAATGACGGATCTAGCCCCATTTTTCGACTTATTGGAGATGAAATTTCTCGTTAAGGTTTGAAATATAGTAAATTCATGACGACTGAGCCCCCATTGGGGATGCTCTTATTACTTGCTGTGTGTGAAGCTTTCAGAATTCACAAGCATATAGAAAATGGAATTCGAAATTCCAGGATCTCTTCAAAGTTGCTTCTTTTGTATTGATTTGTTGCTTTCCTTTGGAAGCATACAAGTAACAGAAGAAATCTTTGCAAAAACAGTCACGTTACAGCTCTATCGGGGTTCAAAGCAATGGCATGACTCGTTGAGACCAGAAACTCTCTCGGGGCAGCCCGACATTTGCAAATTCTTCCGACTTCCGAGTCTTTCATTCTCACTCGGTCTCTTTGGTCTTACGTTGGTCCTTGAAGCGGTTGTATCAGCTTAACCTTTTTCTTTGCTCATTTTCCGGAATGCAAGCACTTTTGCATCTTCTCTGCTTTTACACCCTCCGACTCTACCAAGACTGCTGCACCCAGTCAAACTAGTTAAGATCAGAAGAGTGCCGACATAACACTTCTAAGCTGCATCCAACGGTTTCATGCCAAATCATGAAAGAAGAAAAATTCACACATACCAGGAGGGGTGTGTTTACACAATATTTGGGCAGTGATGAAATCCAACAGATGAACTTTTGAGTGAAATAGCCATCTTGAGATTGCTTGGATCTGTTTACGGGACATCTTATTCCTTAGGGCCTGGCTTCATCTATCTTTGATTTCATATCAAATGTTCGATAGCCAGGTACATACGTAGGTCCCTGGGTAACAAAAGAGTTATAGCTCACAACGTGCACAGATAGATTCATCTTGTAAAAGGAAAAAGTCTAGAAATGATGCCATTAAGAACTTACTACCATTTCAACATTATCATTTCAGAAAGGCTGTGCAATATCCTTGGATCTCCAAGAGAGCAGTTCAGCTAGTTTTTTCATTCTTGGGCTTGCCAACAAGACAATTCTCTATAATTTCGTCGCAAAGATCTAGAGTAATGTCCATCTTCCCTTCTTCATAGTTCATATCGACAAAAACGTTGTATGTTTCTCTATCTGCAACCACACCATGTCTCCTCATTTCTTCAAATAGTTCCCTTGCCTCCGCAAATTTCCTTCTCTTGAAAAAACCCTTAATAAGTGCACTGTAACAACTTGCCGTCGGAATAAATCCCTTTCCTGCCATTTCTTTATGCAAAAACCAAGGCTCTTTCATATTCCTTGCCTTAGAATCACCCCACCAGCACACATGCTCCTATAAATTTCCGCTGTAGTACGCATATTATTTCTAATGCAGTACTGCTTCATGAGAGAATTGTAGGTTGCCGCATTAGGCACTATACCCTTCTCCAACATCCACTTAAGTAGCCTCTCAGCATCTTCCACCATTCCTGACATACAAAATCCATTCATAAGCACATTGAATGTAACAACTGTAGGTTGAAGCCCTCTATCGAGCATCTCACGCAGGACCTTCTGAGCCTTAGCCATATCCCTCATCTTACAATATGCATCCATCAGAGTGGTACAAGTAATAGTGTCAGGACAGGGCCCTGCACCCTCCATTTGTTCCACCAATTTTTCTGCCTCCACTATGTTTCCCGACTTACAAAGGCCGTTAACAATTGAGTTGTAAGTGAAGACATTAAGTTGAAGGCCCTTCCTGCACACCTCATGAAGAAGTTCATTTGCTACATCTACCTCCCCTCTTTTACAAAGGCCATCAGCCAATGCCGTATAAGTGACAACATTTGGGGTAAGCCCCATATTAACCATCTGGTTGTGAAGCGAAAACGCCTCTTTTATCTCGCCTGTTTTGCAATAACCATCAATAAGGGCTGTATAAGTAACTTCATCTGGTTCTAATCCTCTGCTAACCATTTCATGGAAGAGCTTATCTGCTTCTGTCATCTTCCCTATTTGACAATAAAAATCCATGAATAATAGCAGTATATGTAATATAATCAGGGATTATTTTCCTATCCCGCATTTCGTCAAATAGCCTATATGCAGCAGGAATATTACCCAACTTACAGAATCCATCAATTAGAGTAGTGTAGACGACATTATCAGGAAGTACTCCCAGAACCATCATCTCCCTCAGTAACCCTTCTGCTTCAGATAGTTTACCTGTTTTACACAGAAAGAGTATTATGCCGTTATATGTATAGGAATTTTGCTTCAATCCTTTTATTTTCATTTCCTCTATGAGCTTCAAAACCTTCTGCAGTTCTCCAACATAACAATATCTGCTGATTAAAGTACTATAACTTACAACATCAGGTACACAGCCCCTCAACTCCATTTGCAGGAGTAAATGGTGGGCCTCTTTTATTTTCCCTAATCGACAAAGACAATGAATGATAATATTGTATGATGTGGTGTTCCAATGAATACCCACTTCAGGGTATTCGATGAAGAATTTTATTGCCATCTCAATCCCATCAAAGGTGCTTGATAGCCGAGTAAGAAATAAATTACAGGAATCAACAGAGATAACCAACCCATAGCTCAACAATTTCTCAAAAAGCTTTCTTGCTTCATTGAGCATCTCAGTTTCAACAAGGACCCGGAAGAAAACATCAAACACATGGGTATCTGAACCCCAATCCTTGTAAGTGTATATCAACCGATCAGAAAAGTGAGCGAATGAAAGACCAACATCTAACTTGGGTTTTGCCCAAAAATTATGAATGAGCTCATGCGCTGTTTTAAGATCCTTTGATGCTGCAGCAATTTGTACAACGACACAACAGGCTTCTAATGATGGGTCCTTTCGTAAGCATGCCCAGTCAAAGAAATCCAGAACTAGTTTATAGTCATTCTTAATATTCATGAGAACCCAAATAAGATGGTCAGACCTGAAATTAGATTCATAAGGCTTCAGAATACTGCGAAAAGGCTCAGAGCAGCGAAGCTTAATTGTGGTGAAGATGCGATTTAAAAGTTCGGCATCTTTGATGGTAGGTTTCTTGGGTGAATAGTCAGGAAAGGGCCTTGTATCTTTTGATCCTAAAGAAATTCCATGACTTAAAAACCTCCTAAAGACGAATAGAGAAGAATTTACAGCAATATTTAAGCGGGGACGATGACAGGAGATCTGAAAACAATAGACTGACAAAATGGCGCACCTCTTCATGTCTATCAGAGGAACCCATCAAGAAAAATTTTGGGAACCCATTTCTATTAATGCAGCAGCTCTCCTCCATTTAGAAGAACCAAAGCAACGAGGTTGCTTCATCACATGACCTGTAAAGTAACCATTAAACACAAACACTCAACGTATAAAAACTTTGTAAAGTATACTGCCTATACACCAAAGCATACATTTCTTAATCAACTTTCTTCCAATCTTCTATATATACTGCTGGAATATGAATACACAGCGGTACGAAAGTAGAACACCTGCATGGCAAACGCTTGCAATTTTGTATTTGAACAATGAACAAATTCTGTTTGCAAAACCAATAAAACCATTCAAGTTGCTACTATTTACATTGATTCTGAAACCAATAAAACTTTCTAAAATTAATCACACTCACACCCACAATCTGTCACCAACTAAAACAAATTAAAAGTGGTTCACGCATTCTATCAAACACTTGGCAAGCAATCAATAAAAAGTACTTAAAACCGAAAAATAAAATGCAACACGCTGACAAAGAGTGACAAGCTTTCGAAGCTGGGAAACATGAGAGGTGTTACCTTAAAAGCGATTGACTGTGAAAAGCTCGAAAGCTTCAAACTTCCAAAAACTTGTTTCGGATTTCGGGAGGATGGCTGTTGCCGGTAGGTATCTCGAGTTTCATTCGGCCTCCACTCTCCTCCTCCGGCAGAAGAGCACAGGTGTTCAAGCGAGAGAGACAATGTTGGATAAAGATATTTTATTGGGCTTATATGTTTGGGTTAACTAAATGGCACCAATGTATGCTACTTACTAAAAGACTTGGCCCGGGCCCAAAATGATAAGTGAGTTTATACTGCTAGTTGTTGTGTGTTTCAACATGAGCAAAAGATGGATGTAGAAATCCTTTACATCGGAGTTGTTGGTTGTCATTTGAAGTCTGAGATGCTTTTGAAAGTTGTCATTCAATTGCTCGACGAATTATTCCTGTGGGCACTGAGCAAGGTATCTGCTAGCCTTATTCCTTTGGACTATGTGTTGCTATGGGCATTTTTTTTATAAGCTTACTTGACATATTTTGGCATCTATCGACATGTTGACTCAAAAACTATTACCATAAGTCACCTTCCTCACTTGAAAGTTAGTATTTGTCGACAGCCGTGTAATATGACTTGGCAAATGACCTCAGGCCTATCAAGGCTTGATAAAATGCCAATTTTCTCTAATTGTATACGGGAGGTCTCAAGTTTGGCTAACTGGAATGGCAAGTTTGATACCTAAATATTGTGGCAAAGTCATTGAATTAACTTTGATTCTAGCCCTTTTACTCTTAGGGTAGAATATCACCGTACCAAAAATAAAAACATGTAGACAAATAATATCGTGTGATAAACTCATAATATCGTCACTATAACGTTCTGATTGAATGTAAGTTATCTCCACGATGAGTTCACCATCTCACATGTAAAGTCCCACATGTTAGATGCCTTCAGTTTTTTCTAGCAAACAGAGGTCTGGCTATGTCTCAAGCCAAAGCGTTGGAAAGAATTGTTCTTCACCGTCTAAGTTGACTTCAGTTCTAATCAGGTCATTTAATATTCTCAAACTATTTATTTAAAAATCAAGTTTGTGCTGGATCTGATTATAGTCAGTAACAAAATGATAAATAAATATGGGGAAATTTTTTGGCACATGAATTGAAGCAGTGCTTGGTGGAATATGCGCATGAATTGTTGAGGGGGATTATAATTAATGAATGATTACAAGTTTAATGTGAAATTCCTTTTTAATTAGTTACAACACCTTAACAATTTGGTTTGTTTATTTATTTATTTCGAAGTGATATTTTATACTAATTTATATTTGAAAAAAGAAAAGAAAAATATGAATCCAAAACACAGCAGTAGAAAGTCATATCCGTTAGGGTAACTCACCACTCGTCCTTAACCATTTGAATTTGGATACCCTACCAACAGAACTATGCCCCAGTTACATATATTATTGGAGATTAATTAAGATTAAAGTTCGTTATCAACAAATAATTTCGATGATGATGATTAAATAATTGGAAAGTTCAATAAATGAAGGAAAGATCATCATTGCTTCATTTTCAAACCCCATTTTTTTCATTCCATAAAATTATGCTTTTGATCTCTTTTCCTGATTTGGGACTGAAAGTGGTGGCGGTAGGAATATATACTCATTGCTCCAATCAAAAAGTTGAGTTTGTGAATGGAAATTCAAAAAATATATAGAAAGCTGGGGCTTCGCTTGTTTTGGGGACGAAAGGGTATGGTAGGTAGGTAGCCGTATTGGGATCTCAAACACACAAAAAATCCATATTCTGTTTCAGAATGCTTTTAAAAGAGTTAAAATTGATTTCAGACGCTTAATGCGGTGTTTGACGTAAAAACAAAAAATGTTTTTGAATTCTAAAAGCTATTCTTGATATTTTTTATAAAATGCTTTCAACATAAGTGATTGATACGAGAAGCAAGTCAATAGTTATTCACTTATAAGCAAGTCGACCAAGGAAATGGTTATTAACTTATTACTTCATGTCTTGATTAATTAAAAATTATTGTTCAAGATCTCTTGCGGAGTCTCTTAAAATAATGGACGTGACTCGATGTATAGATACGAATTATATTTTTTTTTATGTACGTGGTATCAGATGCATGCATGGATAAATAGTGAAAAATGTGCAGCCCCTTCAGCAGGCAAAAAGATATAAACGTGTGTTCTTATATATAACCAAAAGGATGATTCGAGGAGTGTAAAACTTCCTTGGTAATATATGTTGGGAATTGAATCTAAACAAAATCCCAAGAGATTTATAAAGAGGGAGATAATCAATTCAATGCTAGGCAGGGGGAACAAAGGCATCTGCTAGTAGGGAAAAGAGAATCAAACAAGATCAAAAGCTAGCTAGTATTCTAGTTTAAGTGGTTATGAGCATTTATTTTTGCATTTTAAGGTATTGAGTTCGATTATGTACTTTCTCCGCTTCGCTAAAGAAAATAAAACAAAAACAAAAAACAAGCTATTGCCAGCCAAAAATTGAAAGTGTTGATGAGATCACAAACTACATGCTCCTTTACCATCATCAAAATATTAATATTTGTATCATCGCACCTGATCGTCTAGCATACTATTTGTTGAATATATATTAGGGTAATTAGATGTCAGTTAAGATGATACAAGTAGTTTTATTTATCGAAAAACCCCCGCCCCAAAAGTGTGACCTCTCTAAACTTTCTTCTTCCACTTCATAATATATATATATACACACACATACACCAAGGCCTCACTTCACACACTTCACACCTTATCATTTTCTCCTCTCCAAACTCACAACAATATGAAGTTTAGCTCTCCTTCAACATCAACTCTCTCCATCATCTTCCTCTCCACCTTCCTCCTCCAACTCACCTTCATCTCCTCCCAAATCTGCCAAAGATCCTGCGGCAAACTCCCCCTCAAGTTCCCATTCGGCAGCGACCCCGGCTGCGGCAACCCGGGCTTCAACCCCCACGTGTCATGCAGCCAGGGAAACCCTATCTTCACAACCCACACCGGATCCTACCCCATCACCAACATAGACTACACAAAGAAAGTTATGTACATCTCAGACCCCTCCATGTCAACATGTTCATGCAACCAACAATCCAAAGGTTTTTCCCTAGACTGGGACGCACCCTTCAGTTTCCAAGACGACAACGTTTTTGCCCTACTCGACTGCTCGCTTTCCAACTCTCCAGTCTTCCAGCAAAAGTCCTTATACACAGACCAAAAAAACAACTCTAAAGTGTCCCTATGTGACAACCAAGGTGCCCCGATTTGCAGCTTCTTGTACTCGTGCCAGGCGATCAGCACGATCAACCTCCCGATATCCACGTGTTGCGTTTACACGCCGGTGGATCTCGGGCCGGCTTTCGAGATGGATTTGGAGAAGCTGCAGTGCAGTTCTTACTCAGGGTTTTACAGCTTCAACGAACATGAGTCTGACCCAAATAGTTGGAACTACGGGATTGCCCTCAAGTACAAGTTCAGTGTGAACAACGAGTATCCGGACTCGTGTGTTAATTGTGAGAGGAGTAATGGGGTTTGTGGGTATTATGGTAATTACAACTCGTTTATATGTAATTGTCCGAATGGGATCAACACTACCAATGATTGCTTCTTTGGAGCTTCTTATAACTATGGTTCAAGGCTTCGATCGTCGCAGATTGGTACGTCTTCATTCTCTCCTTTTTCCTTTATGTGGTTTTGTGTTTCATTTTTTTATTCACACTCGGAGGAAAGAACAGGAAGTCCACTATTGTAATCAACTTAGCTACGTTTAAGTATGTTTAATTTTTTATTTATCTTTTTTTTGGCAGGGACTTGGTTAATCTATTGCTTGGCTTGGCTATTGGTTTTGGTATTGTAGCTTGTGAAATTTCATGGATGAATTTTAGAGTTCTAATCAAATGCAAGTTAGAGGTTTGACCTTTCCATAAATCATATGAAGTATGTTGAGATTCAACTTTTTTTTGTTATAAAGTGTTGAGGTTTCTCCCCAATATTCGTAACAATACTGGGTTAAGTCAGTTAATTTAGGCAATGTGCCACTACGCCTGTCCTCTTGCCCTGATATCATATAAAAAATAAAATAAAGAACTCAAAAACCCAAAGGAATTGGCATATAAGAAAGGTCAGGGAATTTGGTTCCTTCTTTTTGTAGCACCATCACCACTAAGAAAGAATAAACTTTCATTACAAAGGCTCTTTCTGTATCAACACTTTACAGATAAGCTCCAGAATGCAATCCACTGTTCCATCACCATATATGGTTAACTAGATTCTAAAGAACAGAACAGTAACTTTCTCCATCTAGCTTCTTTACAATTGTAAAGACGGTAAATGAGGGACCGAGAAAGCAAAATAGGTGCGAAATTTTTGACAGAGTTAACCCCCACCGGATATTTACAGCGGTATACTGTGACTGCAAAACTTGTTTCTCTGTATTCTTCTTTTCACATTCTCTACACTGTAAGCAAAAAAATGTTTGATCAATGCATCATTCCTGGTCATCGCATATTGCAGCACCGGGGTTTCCCTTGTTGTTGCAATTTGTCCCACATGCATATCATTTGTCTCGGAGATTGGTAATGCGCGGTGTAATAGTCGTTGATGCACCCAAACTGGCAGAACTTCCAGCTATGCACATACTCCACCGGTTTAGATTTGTTGAATTGCTCTACCCACATTCCCATGCTCACATCTTCCATCTTGAACAACTGCACAACACATGAATTTAACGATATGGAGACCTGCACACGGACTACACATGCGAACAAGGAAAAAACAGTATTTTCATCACATACTCGCAATTTGTGCTTTTCAAACTCGGATACGAGGGACCTTGCTATGTCAGAGGAGATTATGTATCCTGGACCATTTGCATAGGGTGGATAATCTTCTTCTGGCCATTCCTGGAGCTCACCAAGGAAGAAAATGAAGGATGAGAGATTGTTCATGACACAACCCATATATCAATTCTATATGAATGTGAACTAAAAAGTGACAACATTAAACTACATATTGACTGCCAGAAGCTAAATAGTAAATACTATCTAATTCTTATCACCAGTCACAATCGCATACGTCATCATATGCGATGAGGCAAATGACAATTAGGTAGATAAGAAAACCGAATGATATATTCACGATAAAAGCTAGAGTTTGGTACAAATACTAAGGCTGTCAAATTTCTAAATAGTGGTTCCTCTATCTCCTTTTTTAAGTAAAAATTTGTTCCTCCATCTCTTGATTGCTACAAAGTACAAACACATCATCTCTAAACACCTTGAAGTAAAAAATATTACTCTAATCCAAAGCATCAACACTCAACTAAGAGGCGTCACAAACAGAATTTACCAGAAAACATGAGGCAAAAGATCAAAGCTAAGCGTTAGAAGAAAAACTAGTAAAAATAAAAAATCAAAAGTTGTATGCATTGCCCTTAAAATCAGATAAGAGAATGTTAATCGGACGTATACAACTTGAGAAAATCAGAATTACCCAATGATTTAGAGAAGACCAGAAAGGACTTATAAACAGTAGAAGATGTATATCAATCTCAAGTTTGTGTACATTGTCTTTTAGAATCATTGGAGAAGAGCAGAATAATGCATACCTCATACGTCACTGCCCATTTACCATGGCGAAGAGGCTTGTGGTGGTAGTTCATATTTCCAATATAGAAGCTTCTATATCCACGAACTTTCCGTGCTTCCCTGAGCACAGCATCCACCCTGATAAATGTGTCATCATCGCACTTCATGATATACCTTGCAGGCACCGTGCGAACCTGTAAACAACCACATACATCGATGTTAAGTATTATCCACAAGGTAATAATAAGTATAAGACAATTGAAGTCTTGTTATGAAGCTTACCCCATATTCGCAGATTGCAACAGTCTTCAATACTACCAGATCATAGTTATCCATATAAGGAACTATAACAATGTCCCCAAAATAATCTACTTCTTTCATTAGTTCCATATTCACTTCCTTTCTTCCATGCTGTCAAAATATAATTCCGAATACTGTAAATAATTGACATAGAACTAATGCACGAGTGGTTTATCAAAGCACAAAACACAAATTCTACATTCCTTACCAGTGCTACAAAAAAACGAGCCACAACACGCGAAGATTTGATTAATTTATGCTGCATCCAAGACTTTCTCACGGCCATACGCTCTGCAAAATGGTTCCCAGCGGACAGAATGCCAATGAACAACTCTACATGCCCATAGGGAAGAAACGGAGCTTTCCACTTAGTCACCATTTCGAGGTGCATCTGGGGTGAAAAACTAGGATGTGATGTGGGCAAGGAGGCTGCAAGCACAGAGTGCACATCAATGTCTCCATTTACAGAGAGTCCGGTAGCATCCTCAAGAACAAATCCCTGTCACCCACGAATAAAATTTTACGATATTCCGCATTCCTTACAGTATAGGCCAATATCACAACAAAAGGGTACTCACCGTGCGATAAGGGAAAGCAGTGACATGCCTCCCATCGACATTGATATGGAAACCTTCCAAACCGGCACTTACGGTAAGAACAAACAGCTTTCCCTCTGCAAAAGGGTATGGCCAGTCTATGGTCACCTTCTTCGTTCGTCCAATCAGCCTGTTCAACCACCATGTGGCCTTTGATTCTTCCGTCTTATTGTCATCATCACGAATCCACTTCTCACATTTCACCTGTCCATCAACTTCGCAAAACAAAAGAATCAGAAAAAGCATACAAACTCACCAAGGTTACATGAAACTCTTCAAAGCTTCGCTTAGAAAAAGGACATTGCTAATAATTCGAAAAAGAAACACAATATGGCATCAGAACATTGAATAATCGAATCACAACCGCTTTATTTAGATTAGCTAGACACATCTAATAAAATATACTATTTACCTACCAAACTAGCATTTAGTTAAATGCAGCACAAAGACCCCTATTTCTCAATTCATTAAGCAACGCAATTAGAACACAATGAAGCCACCTACCAGTATCTTCATCAGCCAGGGACCTCCACCCCTCGCAGCGGAGTGCCGAGCCCCATTGCATCCGGTAACAAGTGTTCTGCTCGATCACCGGTTTCCCACTCCAATCCCCCTTCAACCTCGGATTGAAATGCAGTATCCTCGGCGGGTCCTCCCCCTCCACATTCTTCAAACCCTGCAACTCCATCATAAACTGCGAGACCATCACCGCCTCGTCTCCCTCCTTCAACACCGCAATCTTCGGATCGTACTCCGAGTGGGCCCACCTCGGCGTGCCCACCACCGTTATGTGAGACCCCAGAGTCATCCCGCAGGGAAGAACCATGACCCGTTTCCGGGACTCGAATTCCGACCCGGACAGCAAAAACGAGTACGGGCACGGCTCAGAGCGGTTCTCGGGCTTGGTCTTCAGGTCAGACTCGAGCCTTCCGGCCTCGAGCTCCGCCCAGAGCTTCTTCCCAGCTACCCAAGCGCTCTTGGCGGTTCTATGAAGCTCGGAGACTTGGTCCTTACTGACATTGCCGCCGAACAGAGTGTCCTCGAACACCAAGCCGGAAACTTTCTTGACCTCCCGCATATGCCGCTGGGGGGTCCGGTTCGGCGAGCCGCCGGCGACCCGAAACGCATCCTCCGCCGGCCTACTCGGGGCGTCCCTCTCGCCCATTTCCTCCTCGCTCTCGAGCCAAAACGTCCTGGGAAATGCGTCCTCCAGCGTCTCGAACAGCCCGTCGTCCAAACCCGAAGACTCAAACCCGGATTTCAAAACGTGGGGGATTTCGAAGCTGATCAGGAGCAGGTAGACGATCACTGCCCCAATAAAAACCTGAATCATTCTGAGTCGACTCGGCGGCAGCAACGAGTCGAACTTGCCTCGCTTCATCTGGGTACTTTATTCCCGCAATGCCCCTCAAAATTTCTGCTTGTTTCGGACAATGGGCATAGAACGATCACTGTATCAGTGGGTTTGCTCTGCTGCCCCTGCTTCCTGCAAACCCTAGATTCGAAGAAATTGGGGAAAATCACAGGTTAATTCGCACTCACAGTGACAGAGTTAAAGCTTACAGAGTTAAAGCTTGAATTTATTTTCATAAATATGCAGATGTAGATTTTTAAATAATATTTTTCAGAGAGAAATCTTGAATTTTTCAGACATTTGTCCTTGGCAAATTTGACGCCTTTCAATTTCTATGCCGTAAAGGGAAACCAAATATTATTTGTTTTCACACGCTCCACGATTGTAACGGCGCCGTTTTGCGTAACTAGCTCTAGCTTCCAAAATAATTCCGCGGTGGCGTCGGCACGTGGTTAGAGTATTTTTTTGGTAATTAATTTATTATTTATCGTAATTTTTTAACTGAATATATTCATTACTCAAATTTTGTAATGAAGAAAGAATACGATGAGGTGGTTCATACTCAACACATATTCTTCAACTCTTGGTCAACTTTTCTTCTCTTTTTGAGATTTGTTCCTATTGTATAATAAAAATGTAAAATAATAAAAAACAATATTAAAAGGAGGTTAATATAAAATAAAAAGTAAACCGTCATTTAGCACTAAGATTTAGGAGTATTCATATTTATTTGTGAGTGAGAAATTTTAGATTCCTTATCATTAAAGGTAAATTTGAATCATATTATTGCTAGTCCATTATGAGGTTTAGTCCATTTCCTCATCCTTTAGCGTATATAATATCGTTTGTTAAAAAAAAAAGATATACGTTGAAATTGTAGGCCGTTTTCTAATTTTAGAAATAGAAGTTTTATTCTTTCTTTTATTCATAACAACGATTTTTGTTATCTTCCTTTATGTTATAGATAAGAACAGTATAATCAGACTCTCGAATACCCTTATAAAAATGATTTAGCAAATATAATTTCATAAGAATTTTTGTAAATTAACTTGATTATGTAGCTTTTGAAAGGGAAAATGTCAAAAATGTTTCTTCTTGTTCAAAATTAACTTGACTAATTGAAGGGGTGTGACTTGTAAGGAGTCCGGATCCCCCCGGATCCTCTTTGTGCGGATTTCAAAAATCAGTGAATTGTGTCCGTTAATCATACATTGTGCAGTCAAAAATTATTTTAAATATTTTCATTTAAAAATAAACATAATTAATATTTGATAAAAACTGACCGCTTGATATACGATGAATGAACATGATTTACGGATCTTCAAAATCCTCATCAAAAGAATCCGGAGATGATCCTGTTGGGCTTGTGAGACCGTTGAGGACGTGATTTGAACGGGTGGGGGCCGCTACTCACCCGTGGGATTTGAAGTTGAACAAAGATGTACAACAGTCACGCAGTTTGGTTGGTCCGTTGGTGGTGCGTCCTATTCCTCAGTGCGCGCCACTTGTACCAACTTGTTTTTGTGCCACTTGTCTCCTAAATTTAGTTCCAAATAAAATTAAGAGAGTATTAAGAAAATATATATCGGAAGTTCAATTGAAATTTTGAAAGATTGTAAAGGAGTTATATATTTTTCATAGATTATGTAAATTTGAGCGAATTTCCTTCAATATATCTTATTATTTATAAGCATGTTGGTCGATGGAATGTAAAACTTTCATTTTAGTGTTGGAATATGCTGAGAAATAAAAGCGAGAGGATACTATTTTTTCCATTTCAATGTCCAGTTATGAATCGAGCAAAAATGTTTTTATTTTCCAACAATCCATTTGCATAATTTACTTAAGAATAGTATTTTGATTTTAGCAAGATAAGGCTTTTTAGCTAAAATGATAGCTGAGATTGGCATAAATCCTCACTTGATCCTGGAGATTTAAAAATTGTTAGAATCGGTCCATGAGTTTGTCTACCATCAATTATTTTGGCTATTCTACAAATGCTTTTTATTAAATAAGGAGAAAATGACAATATAACCTTAATTTTTTGTCAAATTATATTGGCTTATTGTTTATTAAATTGAGAGTATTTTTATCATTTTGGTCCTTATTTAACAGGGATTTTTCACGAAATACAAAAATGATTCACGGTGGACAAATTTAGGGACCACTTCTATTGATTTTAAATCTCAGTGATCAAAGTGAAGAGTTATACACATCTCAGATACCAATTTTAACTAAAATGCCCAAAGATAATCCAATAAAAATTGCATTATACGAGTAGTGTATAATTTAAAACATTCTTCTCGTGCATTCAAGGTCTCGAATTTGATTCATGATAAATGATGGGCTGATATCGTTTTCGTGACTGCGACATCTTGGCATGTCTTTGTCCTTCCAGGTATCATATTCCAAGGGGGCCAAAAAATTTTATTACACTTGATTAATTAAGCAATAAGATAGCCTAATCATATTCACATGCATTGATAATTTCGATTAGAAGTTAGCCATATGGAACTGCAATAAGCATGAATACTGTTGCCTTTTTAGTTGCAATTGTATAACTATTTGCCAGATCTAAATTAGTTGTATAATTACCACACAAAAAAACGATTAAATTAGCACCAAATTATTACAGCCTGAATTATGCTATTATTTGCTGTAAAGTTTGAACTTTCCAATTATTTTCATTTCGGGCATGAGTGTGAAAACTGAAAACTGTCCAAAACAAACAAGAAAATAAACAGAAAATAACAAACAAAAAAAGATAAGAAAGGACAAAGCCCGTGCGACCGACAATTTATGTCATCAGCGTCCACTAATTTACTAATGGGGCCAAGTCAGTTAGTTATGTATTTATTTATTTATTTAAAGAGTGATGTTTTCCACACTTTTTTTTTATAATCTTTTTCACATTTCAATTTCAGTGGCCAGATCAATTGAATTGAAAATGATCAAATAATATAAATTAATAAAGTACGTGTAAAAAGTAACAATGATTGTGTAGACAGCACTACCTTAAATAAAATGCTCGTACCATAAAAAAAAACTAACAAACAAATGAATATAAACATAAAAGATAAGAGTAAGAGCTAAAAGAATGGATAAATTTTTTATTGTACTAGGAAAACAGTTCAATACATCAAGTGTTATAATATAAGTGGTTGAAATTTTTTTTTTAAGTACCCATTACTTGTATTATAACATTTGGTGTACCAGACCATATTTCCTGCATACTGAAAAATCTCTCTTAAGAATGACAATGAGTCGAAGCGGTAATGGTATGTCATTAACTAAAATTTGACTTTAAAATAGAAAATATGATTGTAAATGCTCTAAAGAACCAATTCGATCGAACCAACTAATCGAATGACACAACTCGCAATGGCTGAATTTTATGATAGTTCGTGCTAAACTGCTCAGAAATAAACTTATATATGTCGCAAGTTACATGACATTTTTTCATGCACTTAGGCTAACAAGGTTGATAAGATGCTAAGAAAGATAAAATAAAAATCAAGCTTATTAGGCCCAAACTGCCCAAACCAAATTGTCAAATATTGGCTCGGCTTTGGTTTTGGGTAATTCAAGGCCAATATGTACCATGCAAATCCCTCACAATTTTCTTTTCTTTTCTTTTTGGTATAACCCTTATACTGTCACATGACATTACAATCCACTTATATTGTAATGCGTTTTTATGAGTCGGCTCTACAACTTGCACTCTATTACAATTTACAGAAGATGATCTTATCCGGATCTCACCCGCCCAGCTGAATTCCTCTCCCAATTCCAGGTAATTCCTTTGCTACTTTTCTCATTTTCGGTTTCAATTCAATGCCCGATGTGGACTTCAGTTAATCTGTAAGTTTTTTCGCAGTCGAAAATAGCACAATTTCAAAACCACGAGTTGTAGTACGTTGTTACGACATTGCCAACTTCGATGACACCTATGCTTTTGCCGATAACCAGCTCCGAGTAAGTCATGATGCCGACCGGACTTTGAAGAAGAAGGAAGAAGAAGGATCCGGATGGATGCCACCGGAGAGGATCCTATTCCATAATTTACAACATACCTACAACACTACTTTCAAATACTCATAAGAATTCACAGGTGACAGGTCCGTCAACCACCACTTGCACTTTGTCAACCAAAAATTTTTCAGCATCATGCACGTAATTAATTAAGTCGAATTTGTTCCCTTGGCTTAAAATTCATGTCAATGATGAATCGACGAGAGTCACAATCGAGTAAATTATTCTTTTGGATTTAAGTCACGCGTACTACATGTTGAGTAGCGAAAAATTAATTAAATTGATTATGTACGTTAGCAGTTATCTGGTAAGAAAGTCGCACTTCGCTTTTAAACCAGATTAGTATACGTAGTAATATGTCTGCAACTACACAAAGACGAGGAAGTTGGCCGTGGAAACAAATAAAGACAGCAGCAAATTGCTGCGCACACAATTGATTCTACTCCAAAAACAAGGCTCTCCTACCCTTGGATCTTCCATGCATAACCAAGTTCCCTCTCATCAATGCCACATTTTTCTCATTGTTCTAATAAATTAATTAAATCATAATCCAAATTTGTCCCTTCTAATACGAGAGATTTTTCAGTGTGCTCGAAAAACGGGCACATACGTCATATATGTCATTATATAAGTGGATAAACATTTTGAAAAAAAAAATACAGGTTCGTTTCAATGTGCTTTTAAAATTACTAAAAGTGCTTTCATAAAAAATGTTTATGGGTTACATAAGCACTTAAAGTGTTTCATGCAAGAAACACCAATTATGTGCTTCTTGTAAGAAATGCTTCAAGTGTTTTTTTTTTCTTTAGAATTTACTTACATTTTTACTAAATATTAGTTCTAAAAATATTTTCACAAAAAACAGTTTAGTTATTTAAAGCAGTTCTAAATGAGTCCTACTTCACTTCACTTGTATAATAACATATGGCGTATAACACTCTTATTCTGAGCACATTAAAAAAAAAAATTGTCTTTTAATGCACACCCTGGCATTAAATTTTATAACTTTCACACACATGCGATTCTCTCTATATATACCTAGCATGTACAACTTCTATTTCAAAAAACAAAAAAAATCAGCTAAAGAGTACTCTAAACCCTAGTTTTAGAAATCATAGTTCGAACCATCTTTCATATTTTGTATCAACAAAGTCTTAGAGTTCCAATATCCGCTATCTCTAACTTACTTTTTAACAACAAAAAGATTTGTTACGATATGATTATGGCGAAGTTCCCGACGGTTGATCAGTGCACGTCAGATGGACTGGAAAAGCACACGGTG